GTTAAAAAAAAAAAGGGGGGGGGGGGGGGGGGGGGGGGGGGGCGCGGCGCCCCCCCCCGCAATGCGTACCAAGAGAGAAGCACATAGGCACAAGTCTCAATGGATATATTGCAAGTAAGAACGAGAAGATCAAAAAAGAAGCAAATAGGCACAAGTCTCGATGGATATCAACAAAGATGAAATTAACCCAAATAAACGATGATGCTTATGCAAAAAGAAAGGAATAGTAGGTAGCAAGGGGAACCGGTTTAAAAATAAAAGCGGGTGGGGGGGTGCAGGGGGGAGGGCGCAGCGCCTCCCCCCGCAATGCGTACCAAGAGAGAAGCACATAGGCACAAGTCTCAATGGATATATTGCAAGTAAGAACGAGAAGATCCAGAAAGAAACACACAGGCACAAGTCTCGATGGATATCAACAAAGATGAAATTAACCCAAATAAACGATGATGCTTATGCAAAAAGAAAGGAATAGTAGGTAGCAAGGGGAACCGGTTTAAAAATAAAAGCGGGTGGGGGGGTGCAGGGGGGAGGGCGCAGCGCCTCCCCCCGCAATGCGTACCAAGAGAGAAGCACATAGGCACAAGTCTCAATGGATATATTGCAAGTAAGAACGAGAAGATCAAGAAAGAAGCACATAGGCACAAGTCTCGATGGATATCAACAAAGATGAAATTAACCCAAATAAACGATGATGCTTATGCATTAAAACAAAAGGAATAGTAGGTAGCAAGGGGAACCGTTTTAAAAATAAAAGCGGGTGGAGGGGTGCAGGGGGGAGGGCGCAGCGCCTCCCCCCGCAATGCGTACCAAGAGAGAAGCACATAGGCACAAGTCTCAATGGATATATTGCAAGTAAGAACGAGAAGATCAAGAAAGAGGCACATAGGCAGAGGTCTCGATGGATATCAACAAAAATGAAATTAACCCAAATAAACGATGATGCTTATGCAAAAAGAAAGGAATAGTAGGTAGCAAGGGGAACCGGTTTAAAAATAAAAGCGGGTGGGGGGGTGCAGGGGGGAGGGCGCAGCGCCTCCCCCCGCAATGCGTACCAAGAGAGAAGCACATAGGCACAAGTCTCAATGGATATATTGCAAGTAAGAACGAGAAGATCCAGAAAGAAACACACAGGCACAAGTCTCGATGGATATCAACAAAGATGAAATTAACCCAAATAAACGATGATGCTTATGCAAAAAGAAAGGAATAGTAGGTAGCAAGGGGAACCGGTTTAAAAATAAAAGCGGGTGGGAGGGTGCAGGGGGGAGGGCGCAGCGCCTCCCCCCGCAATGCGTACCAACAGAGAAGCACATAGGCACAAGTCTCAAAACAAAATGTGAGCGCATGGTTCATGTATGTTTTGGTATGTTTTGGTCACAAATCTATGTGGCTCTGACTTGCATCTCAACTCAGTATTTCTGCAACGGGTTCCGAACGAGGCCAAAAACGATGCCAAAACGAGGCCCGAACAAGGCCAGAAAATAGTTTTGGAACCCCCTCAGCTCTAGCAGCTCAGCAGCACTTTGCACGCTGCCCGTGGTGGCTGCAAGCTGCAAGTGTTGACTGCACGCATGGTCCTTCCTTCCTTCTTTCTTTCCTTCCTTCCTTCCCTTCGTTCCCCCCTTGCATCCTTCCCTCCTTCCCTCCTTCCCTCCTTCCCTCCTTCCCTCCTTTCCTCCTTCCCTCCTTTCCTCCTTCCCTCCTTTCCTCCTTCCCTCCTTTCCTCCTTCCCTCCTTTCTTCCTTCCTTCCTTTCGTCCTTCCCTCCTTTCCTCGTTCCCTCCTTCCCTCCTTATTTCCTTTCTTCCTTCCTTCCTTCCTTCCTGCCTGCCTGCCTGTCTGCCTGCCTGCCTTCCTTCCTTCCTTCCCTCCTTTTCTCCTTTCCTCCTTCCCTCCTTCCCTCCTTCCCTCCTTTCCTCCTTCCCTCCTTTCCTCCTTCCCTCCTTCCTTCCTTCCTTCCCTCCTTCCCTCCTTCCTTCCTTCCCTCCTTCCCTCCTTCCCTCCTTTCCTCCTTCCCTCCTTTCTTCATGGTCATTTATTTTTTTTTGATGCATTTATATTTTTTTTGATGCATTTATATTTTTTTGATGCTTCTCCCGTATGTATGTATGTATGTATGTATGTATGTATGTATGTATGTATGTATGTATGTATGTATGTATGTATGTATGTATGTATGTATGTATGTATGTATGTATGTATGTATGTATGTATGTATGTATGTATGTATGTATGATATGTATGATATGTTTGATATGTTTGATATGTATGATATGTATGATATGTATGATATGTATGATATGTATGATATGTATGATATGTATGATATGTATGATATGTATGATATGTATGATATGTATGATATGTATGATATGTATGATATGTATGATATGTATGGTATGTATGGTATGTATGGTATGTATGGTATGTATGGTATGTATGGTATGTATGGTATGTATGGTATGTATGGTATGGATGTATGTATGTATGTATGTATGCATGCATGTATGTATGTATGTATGTATGTATTTGTATGTATTTGTATTTATTTGTATGTATTTGTATATATTTGTATGTATCTGTATGTACTTGTATGTATTTGTATGTATTTGTATGTACTTGTAACGTATGCATATGTATGTGTATGTATATGCATGTATATGTATGTATTTGTATGTGTATGTATGTGTATGTATGTGTATGTATGTATACGTATGTACATGTATGTGGATGTATGTATGTATATGTATGTATATGTATGTATATGTATGTATATGTATGTGTATGTATGTGTATGTATGTGTATGTATGTGTATGTATGTGTATGTATGTGTATGTATGTATGTATGTGTATGTATGTGTATGTATGTGTATGTATGTGTCTGTATGTGTCTGTATGTGTATGTATCTGTATGTATGTGTATGTATGTGTATGTATGTGTATGTATGTGTATGTATGTATGTAGGTATGTAGGTATGTAGGTATGTATGTATGTCTGTATGTATATGTGTATGTAGGTATGTAAGTATGTAGGTATGTATGTATGTCTGTATGTCTGTGTGTGTGTCTGTCTGTCTGTATGTGATGTGATGTGATGTGATGTGATGTGATGTGATGTGATGTGATGTTTGTAATGTATGTAATGTATGTAATGTATGTAATGTATGTAATGTATGTAATGTATGTAATGTATGTAATGTATGTAATGTATGTAATGTATGTAATGTAGTAATGTATGTAATGTATGTAATGTATGTAATGTATGTAATGTATGTAATGTATGTAATGTATGTAATGTATGTAATGTATGTAATGTATGTAATGTATGTCATGTATGTAATGTATGTAATGTATGTCATGTATGTAATGTATGTAATGTATGTAATGTATGTAATGTATGTAATGTATGTAATGTATGTAATGTATGTAATGTTTGTAATGTATGTAATGTATGTAATGTATGTAATGTATGTAATGTATGTAATGTATGTAATGTATGTAATGCATGTAATGTATGTAATGTATGTAATGCATGCAATGTATGTAATGTATGTAATGTATGCAATGTATGTAATGTATGCAATGTATGCAATGTATGTAATGTATGTAATGTATGTAATGTATGTAATGTATGTAGTGTATGTAGTGTATGTAATGTATGTAATGTATGTAATGTATGTTATGTATGTTATGTATGTAATGTAATGTATGTATGTATGTATGTCTGTATGTCTGTATGTATGTATGTATGTATGTATGTATCTATGTATGTATGTATGTATGTATGTATGTATGTATGTATGTATGTATGTATGTATGTGATGTATGTGATGCATGTGATGCATGTGATGTATGTGATGTATGTGATGTATGTGATGTATGTGATGTATGTGATGTATGTGATGTATGTGATGTATGTGATGTATGTGATGTATGTATGTATGTATGTATGTATGTATGTATGTATGTATGTATGTATGTATGTATGTATGCATGCATGCATGCATGCATGTATGTATGCATGCATGCATGTATGTATGCATGCATGCATGTATGTATGTGTGTGTATGTGTGTAATGTATGTAATGTAATGTAATGTAATGTCATGTCATGTCATGTCATGTCATGTAATGTATGTATGTATGTAATGTCTGTAATGTCTGTAATGTCTGTAATGTCTGCAATGTCTGTCTGCCTGCCTGCCTGCCTGCCTGTCTGTCTGTCTGTCTGTCCGTCTATCTGTCTGTCTGTCTGTAGGTAGGTAGGTAGGTAGGTATGTATGTATTTCTATTTGTTGCATTGTATTTTGTATTGTATTGCATTGTATTGTAATGCAATGTAATGCAATGTAATGTACTGTAATGTATGCATGCATGCATTGCATTGCATTGGATTGTACTGTACTGTACTGTATTACCTTGCACTGTGCATTGCACTGTATTGTATTGTATTGCAATGTTATGTTATGTTCTGTATGTGTATGTGTATTTAAATATATATATATATATTCTAAATATCATAAATACTATCAATATCTTAAACATTACAAATATTATAAATATCATAAATATTATAAATAGTGTAAATATGATAAATATTATAAATATTATAAGTATGATAATTATTATAATTATTATAAATAGTATAAATTATACAGTATAAATATTATAAATATCATTCGTAGATGACTTCCCATATCTATGTATGTTTACATATATATATATATATATATATACATGTAAAACATATTTAAACCTCCAGTCTCTCGAGAATTTCCCAGCCAGCCATCTTTGATGACAACGGACACTGGGATTTAACATTCTAACCTCCGGCCTTTTCAGCATCGTCGCCACCTCATTTGGCAACTCTGGAAGTGGGCGACGGGCGTTCTTCTCCTTTTCTTTCTGTAACCGACTCAGTAACCAGTTACTAAACTTGAGGGTCTCCTGAAGGTTGAGTCGCATCTCCGATGTGTTTTTCCTGAGTAATTGCGGCAACAAGGGTGCAACAGCAAGTTCATGAAATATCACATAGATTGCCAAAGATTTCACAGATCTGAACAAAGAATGATTGATGGAAAAACATGGAAAAACCTTCCTTTGCAAATCGGCAATTTCGCTTTCCCTGTCAGGAACTCAGCCAGGCAGTCCGTCTCCTTACAGTCGCGTGGAGGGCGGTAGTAACTCTTGGGGTAGCAGCACTCATCGTCGGTGTCCGGCCATGGATCCTGTGCCTGGTCATCTGCGCTGCCACCGCTGCAGGTGCTGATAGTCTCGACATCGTCACAGGTCGCATCCACGGCCATGGTGAGAGCCATCCCAAGGCTCTACACTGGGAGGAAATCGGATCCACGGACAAAAAAAAAGTGCCGAAAGCTGGTGCCTATACAATATGCAATAAGATGAGAATAAGATGTAATAAGCAAATATAAGCAATTTAAGTATGGATAGGCTGAACAGGCCAATGTCTTGTAACGGCGGTATAACTTTTAAATCTCCGTTTCTGGCAGCTCGTCGTCATGCACAACTGGCCTTGCTGTTTTCAGCAGTCTGACCTTGCCTTGATCCATATGCTGTCAATACCAAAGATGGCCAAAGTCTGAGTCTGAAAATCTTCGAACTGTGCAGCATTGCGTAGCCGGCGTAGCCGTGTTCCATCGTGTTCCAGTGGTCAAAGATGACCAAAGAGTATCAAAGACAATCAAAATCTTGCGTTCGAGCTGCCCTTTCTCGAGCGCCCGAGTTTTCTCCACGCAGAACGCAGGTCACAAACCGTGGATGCTGTAGCAGCATGCTCAAACGTTCAGCAGTGGCCTCCAATCAAACATCACTGCAGTTCACTGCAGTCATCCCCAGTACAACAGCGCATGTTCTTCTCCAGACAACATTAAGTAGCCTCTGGTCTCATCAGCTCCATGGCCGGAAAATTCCTCCATTTATATCGACAAATTTCCTCAATGAACATTGAGTTTAGGGATTTCCCAGCAGCCCACACCTTCAACAGCAGTCGCAAGCGCTGCAACGCGGAATCGCTGAGGAAGGTCTGCCTGTGTCAACCAAAACTGAGATCCCTGAAATGACCTCAACATGGAGAGCCTCAGAACTCATGGGCCATGCTGACCCATTTTACATAACAAGCTGTTGGAGTACCGGAGGCTACAACTTGGATATGAAACCAGCGCGATTTTCAGGATAGCCACCTGGTGCATGAAAGCTCCAACAACGCTTCCAACGAGGCGAAATGAGCCTCGGTGACACCGACATTGAGGGGACTGACAAGCCATCAACTCTAAACAGAAACAGATGGGGCCAACAAGCCATCAATGGGCCATCAATGGTCAGGATTTCTCGGCAGATAGTTATGTTTAAAGCATTAGCACATTGTGCCATTAGAAAACTTGAGCAGGGTTCAAAAGTTCAAAACCCCTCTGTCGTCCCTTTCTACTGGCGGATTGGTAAGGATTCCCGTAAACATGGATTGTGATTATCCCCAAATGTTGGTGAGTACAATCTCCTATATATATATATAATACATTTTAATATATATATATATATTTATTTATATAAATATATATAAATCATCAATTAACCAGGCTTTTGAACTTTGGTCACCTGGTATTGTGGGATATTTGGACCATCCCCATATGCAAACCATGGCTATCCCATGGCTATCGACAGAGGTTGCTGGCCATGGAACCTCACTGTTGACAGCCCAAGTCTGTTCCGGCTCGTGTCCTAGGATGGTCGCGATATGTCGCGATCGAAATCTTTGCATCCCAGATATAAAGATGAAGATGAGAACTACTGTGAAGCTGGTGGAATGATGTGGAATGTGTCTAATTTGCCCTTCAAGCTGGGATGAGTCACCGGGCAGGCATCGGCTCTCAACTTCTCGCCTTGAGACAGAGGGAGCCGGTCAATGAGCAAAATTATATTGAAACTTTTGTTCATTGCAAATCAACCCCAACATCGACTCCAGTGGTAACATGTGGTACCTCCAGACTTAAGGGGAGGATGAACGAAAGCTAAGGTTCAGAGCCTGGAAACATGATGGGATTTTGAATACAGATATTGCCTAGAGACCTGGCAGGATTTGAGCCCGTGACCATCTGCTTCCAACACCGCTTCAAAATGTCCAGGGAGCTTAGGGGTGGGCAAGAAGGGTTCGAGTGACAAATGGGCTGCATTTTTTGGGTGGATTTTTGTTCCCGTTTCTTTTTGGGATTTTTTTCCCGTTTTCTGGCTGAGGTGGTTTTACCTGGCATTTGCACCGTACTGTTTTGGAGCTTAGATCTCCATTTGCGTGGTACTTGCAGCACTTTGGAGTTTGGATCTCTCATTAGCAGTAGCATGGTGTCTGCAGTATTTTGGAGTTTGGATCTCTCACTCGACTGGCATTTGTAACATTTTGGAGCTTGGAGGATCTCTCATGGTATTTGCCTCAGGTTGATTTACGGTTGGTTTAAAGGTTAGTTTGGGTGGGTTTGTTTTTTTGAAGGCTGGCTTAGGGTTTCTTTAGGGTAAGATTGGTTTAGGGGTTGGTTTAGGGTTTGTTTAGGGTTGGTTTAGGATTCATTTAGGGTTAGTTTAAAGTTTGTTGAAGGTTGATGAAGAGTTTGTTTAGGGAGTCTGAGGTTTCTTTAGGGTTGGTTTCAGTATTATTTAGGGCTGATTTACGGTGTATTTACAATAAAATTTGTTTAGTGGTCATTGGGGTTGGTTTAAAGTGCATTTACGGTTGGGATAGGGTGTGTTGAAGGTTGGTGTAGGCTTTGTTTAGGATTGGTTTAGTTAGTGTTTCTTTAGGGTTTGTATGCTTATTTTTGAGGGGTGCTTAGGTTGCTTTAAGGTTTATTCAGGGTTGGTTTAGGGTTTGTTTGGAGTTATTTGGGGATGGTTTAGGGTGTATTTCGGGTTGGTTCAGGTTTTGTTTAGGGTTAGTTTCAGTGTTTTGTAGGGTTGGATTAGGGTTTGTTTAATGGTTATTTGTGGCTGGTTTGAAATGCATTTATGGTTGATTTTTGGTTTGTTTAGGGTTTGTTGAGGGTTGGCTTTGGTTAGTTTAGGGTTTGTTCGGGGTTTGTTGAAAGTTGGTTTAGGGGTTTGTTTGGGGGTGGTTTGCGGTTTTCTTGGGGGTTAAGTAAAGTTGGTTTGGGGGTTTAGGGCTTGGTTCTTTTAAACTTATTTAAGGTTGGTGTATGAATTATTTGGTTCCTTTAAACTTGTCTAAGGTTGGTTTAAGAGTTATTTGCAGCTGGCTTAAGGGTTTTTCAGTGTTGGTTTAGGCATTATTTACAGTTGGCTTAAGTTTATTTAGGGTTGGCTTAGGGTTTGTGTAGCCTAAGGTTTATTTCTTCCTTCCTTCCTTCCTTGCTTGCTTGCTTGCTTCCTTCCTTCCTTTCCTTCCTTCCTTCCTTCCTCCTTTCCTTCCTTCCTTCCTTCACCAGAAAACGGGTAAAAATTAAAAAACCAAAAAAAAAAATAGCCCTCCGTGAAAAGTCACTGTGTTGGACTCAGACCTGCCCCTCCCCTCATGCATATCAATGCATAATCCACCCAGACACTGGCAACTAGAGAATGTAAGTAAATCAAGCACGCTTTCGTTAGATGCGAAAACTTCACAAAAAGTGTTGCATCTCAGCACAAAACCCTGAGAAAGCTGGCATAGAACACGTGGATTTGGGCAGTGGAACAAGCACCAGAGATGGCAACAGCAATTGTCCAATTTCAGCTGACAACCCCTGACGACCCTGACGACCTCGATCCAGAATCTGCCGACGACCCCGACGACCCCTGCGACCCCGACGCCCCGACGAACCCAACCGACCCCTGACGACCCCTGACGACCCTGACGACCCCGATGAACCCTGACGACCCCTGACGACCCCTGACAACCCCGACGACCCTTGCGACCCCTGACGAACCCCGACGACCCCTGTACCCCGACGACCCCTGCACCCGACGACCCCTGCACCCGACGACCCCTGACGACCCCCTGACGACCCCCTGACGACCCCTGACGACCCCCTGACCACCCTGTATACGACTGCCACAGGAGATCTTTGTCCGTTTTGACGCCCCTGGGAAATTTCAACAATTTACCCCACATATTCTGTTGAGCGTATTGTTTTGTGAGGTCGAAGGGGTTAAATCATGTTAAATCTATAACAATGACTCATATGCTAAACCTATTGCTTTGTAGGGTCGAGGGAGATAAGTTTCAAAAATGGCTCAAGATGCCAATGTTCTTCACATGTTCAACATATTGGCTTGCTGTAGGAGAAGGAATTAACGAATATAAGAATGATTACATTTCATTTTGTTATATAATTTATTCAACGTAATAATTTCCAGGGGAAGGAAAAGACACCTTAAACATGGTGGTGATGCCAAGTTGTTTTATATGTTGAACGTAGTGTTTTTGTAGGGGACAGCGGGGAAAAAACATAACAATGACTCAAGATTCCAAATTGGTTGATATGTTGAGGGTAGCGTTTTAAAGGGATGGGGGGAGATGGAGGGAGTACATTCAAACTTCAAAACAACGACTCAACATGTCAGCTTTGTTCATATATTATAGGTACTGCTTTGTGGACTCGACGAGAGGATATTATTTTTCAAAAATAACCCCACATGTCAATTTTCTGCACTTGTTCAACCGTTTGCTTTGTAGGGTCGAGGGGGGCCAAATTTAAAAAAATAACTCGACGTGTCAACTTTCACCGTTTTTTAACGTATTGCTTTGTAGGGTCGGGCGACTGTAAATTTCAGAAATGACTCAAGATGCCTTTCTTTCCATGTGTTCAACGTATTGTCTTGTTGTAGGGGAAGGCAAGGAACATTTTGACATAAGTCAAGATGCCATGCTGGTTCATACACTAAACATAGCGTTTCGTAGGGGACAGGGCAGGTAAATCCAAAAGAACGAATCAACATGTCAACTTGATCCATATGTTGAATGTATTGCTGTGTGTGGTCCAGGCGACGTAAATTCCAAACATGACTTGAGGTTCCAATTTTGTTCGTTCAACGTCTTGCTTTGTTGTAGGGGAAGGAAAAGACATTTCAAACATGACTCAGGATGCCAAGTTGGTTCATATGTCGAACAAAGTGTTTTGTAGGGGGCCGGAAGATAAATCTATAGCAATGACTCAACATGTCAACTTTCTTCATATGTTGAATCAACCATATGGTTTTGAAGGTTCGAGGGGGGGTAAATTTTCGGAATGACACCATGTGGTAACTTTCCGCATACAATGAACGTATTGTTTTGTAGGGTCGAGGGGGGAAATTTGCAACAACGACTCCACATGTCAACTTTCTTCCAACGTTGAACATATTGCTTTGTAGGGCCGAAAAAGGGGAATAAATTGAAAAAATGGTAAATTGAGAAATGACTCAAGCTGAGAATTGCCCCCATGTGTTCAAGATATTGTTTTTGTGGGGGAGGGTGGATGACAAAAGATGACTTAACGTTTCAACTTTGTTCCTATCTTCAAGATTCTGACTTGCATGGGAAAGGACATGTTGAACACGTCTCAAGATGCCAAACTGGTCTGTTTGTTGAACGACTTTGAACGTATATTTTTGTAGGGCACACGGGAGTAGATCTTTAACAATGACTCAATATGCCAAGTTTGTTGGAAGGAGGTGCTAGCTAGGTAGGGTCAAGGAGATGTAAATTTTAAAAATGACTCCGCATGGCAACTTTCTTCATACCTTAAACCATGTGTCTGGCAGGGTCGAAGGGACGGAAATTCCAAGCATCACTCGCCATGCGAAATCTCTCCATATGTTCAACGTGTTGCTTTGTAGGGTGGATGGGCTGTAAATTTCAGAAATGACTCAAGATTCTTTTTTTTTCATGTGTTCAACGTATGGTGTTGTTGTAGGGGAAGGCAAGGAACATTTTCACATAAGTCAAGATGCCATGCTGATTCATACGTTAAATATAATGTTTTGTAGGGGACAGGGCAGGTAAATCCAAAAGAATGAATCAACATGTCAACTTGATCCATATGTTGAATGTATTGATTTGTAGGGTCAATTCAGCTATGTTCTTTGTAGGATCGAGAAGGGTAAATTTGAAAACTGACGCGACACGTAAGCTTTCTCGGTATGCTGATCGTTTTATTTTGTAGGGTCGAGGGGTTGTAAACTGCAAAAATGGCTCAAGATGCAATTTTTCTTCATTTGTTCAATGTATGAATTGGAAAGGGAGGGGGGGGTGAAATGTTTCAAGACAAATCAACATTTCAACTTTGTTCATACGTATATTAAACGTATTGCTTTTCGAGGAATAAAGAATAAATACATTTAGAACATGACTCAGGATGCCCACGTTGGTTCATATGTTGAACGTAGTGCTTTCAAGAGGACAGTGACGAAATCTACAAAATGACTCAATATGCCAATTCTCTTCACATGTTTAACGTACTGCTGTGTAGGGTCGGGGGGTCGTAACTTTCAAAAATGACTCAAGATGAATTGTCTTAATTTGTTCAACGTATTGTTTTGTTATAGGAGAAGGAAATGACATTTGAATCACATAACTCGAGATGCCAAGTTACCTCTAATGTTGAACGGACGTAGTGTTTTGTAGGGGACAGGCCGGTAAGTTTGTAGCAATGACTCGACTCAACATGTCAACTTCATGGTAAGGTCAGGGGGGAATAGATTTCAAAACTGGCTCAAGATCTCAATTTGTTTCATGTGTTCAACATTCATACTGTTTTGTGGCGGGGGGGCATAAAAAAAATGAACTGACTTAACCCCTCATCTGTGTTCATAGTCAACGTGTTGCTTTGCAAGGGAGGAAAAGATATTTTAAACGTAACTCAAGATGCTACGATGGTTCATATGTTCAACTGTTCAACTATGTTACACGTAGTGTTTTGATGAGGTAAACCGATCAGAAGAACTTAGCCAGTCAACTTTTTCCACAAGTTCAACATATTACCTGGTAGGGTCGATGGGTGGTAAATCACAAAATTGACTCAAAATGCCAATTTCCTTCGTCTGTTCAGCGTATTGTTTTGTAGGGTAGGGTAGGGGGGCTGAAATATGTGAAAATAAATCAACACTTTTGACTTTGTTCATAAATTCAACGTGTTGTTTTGTGAGGAAGGAAAGGACATGTTCAACATGATTCAAGATGCCCAGTTCGTTTACATGTTGAACGTATTGCCTTGTAGGGGATGTGTTTGAAAATCTATATAACACTGACTAAATGTGTCAACTGTTCATATAATATATGTTGAACCTATTGCTTTGCAGAGCTGATGGAAGGTAATTTATTCCCACTCTTACGCGCTATATGTTCTGACATAGTTTATGACATACCATCTGGAAGTATTTATGGCAAATATATTCTGATATTCTATCTGACATTCTTTCTGGCATTGTATCTGACGTATATTCTGCCGTTCTGTTTGTTCGGGTCCAGGCGCGCTCCACAGCCTCCTGAGCGCGCGATATGGCTGTCGGGTCCAGGCATCCTGATCTCGCGGCATGGCACTCAGGTCGAGCCGCACTCCACAGCATCCACAGCCGGCGAGGAAAAAGAGAAGGAGAGAAGGAGAGGAAGAAGGAGAGGAAGAAGGAGAGGAAGAAGGAGAGGAAGGAGAGGAAGAAGAGGAAGAAGAGGAAGAAGAGGGAGGAGTCGCACCTTTGTTAAAATCTAGAAACCTTCACCTGGCAGGTGGGGAAAAAGAACTCAAGATAGAAGTTTTGTTCTTCTTTCAAATGTATTGTTTTGATTTGTTTTGTGGGGGTTTGGGGGTGCAAGAAATTGACATAATGTGTTCAATATTCAAGGCAATCATATGCAGGGGAGGAAAAAGAACATGTTAAACATGACTCAAGATGCCAAGTTGGTTTAATATGTTGAATGTATTGCCTTGTAGGGTCGAGGGGCGGGTAAATTTTAGAAATGACTTGAGATGACAATTTTGTTGGTTCAACATATTGTTTTGTAGCGTCGGAAGCGCAAAAAAATATTGATGACTCGGACTCGACATGTCAATTTACTCCATTTATTCACATGTGTTCAATATATTCAAAAGTTGAGGGGGTATATTTCAAAAATGACTCAAGATGCCAAGTTGGGTCATATGTTGAACGTAGCGGTTTGTACAGGGCAGGGGGGAAGGGGAAGAAATCATAACAATGACTCAAAATGCCAACTATGATCACATGTTCAAGGTATTGCAGTGTAGGGTCACGGAATTGTAAATTTCGAAAGACTCAGGAAGCCCATTCTTTGGTTTGTTCGAGGTATTGTTTCTCAGGGGAAGGAGAGGAGTTCAAAATATAAAGATGACGTGACATTTCTACTTTGTTCATATATTCAACGTATTGGTTTGCAAAGGTAGGGATAGGACATGTTAAACATGGCTCGAGATGGCTTGTTCATGCTGAACGAGGTTGAATGTAGTGTTTTGTAGGGGCCAGAATGTAGATATTGCTTGGTTGGGTCCAGGGGGGATAAATTTCAAAAAAGGACTCCACATGTCAACTTTCTTCATACGTTGAACGTATTGCATTGTGGGGTCGACGAGTTGCAAATTTCACTCACGACTCAAGATGCAATCTTTCTTCATCTATTCAACGTATTGTCTTGTTGTAGGGGAAGGAAAAGACATTTCAAACATGACTCAAGATGCCAAGTTGGTTCATATGTTGAACATAGTGTTTTGTGTGGAGAAGGGATTAAATCTATAAGAATGACTATCAGAATGACTTGACAGGTCAACTTGCTTCATATGTTGAACGTGTTGTGTTGTAGGGTCGAGGGAGGTAAATAAAACATGGCTCAAGATAGATCAAAATGACAATTTTGGGGTTGGTTGGACACGGTCGGAGTAAAACAACACAATGAAATCTGGAGTTAGTTTCTAAACTCCTGTTCGGAACCCTGCGGCGTCTTCGGCGTCTTCGGCGCCTTCGGCGTCTTCGGGGTCTTCGGGGTCTTCGGGGTCTTCGGGGTCTTCGGGGTCTTCGGGGTCTTCGGGTCTTCGGCGTCTTCGGGGTCTTCGGGGTCTTCGGGGTCTTCGGGGTCTTCCGCGTCTTCAGGCGTCTTCGGCGTCTTCTTCGTCTTCGGGCATCTTCGGCGTCTTCGGGCATCTTCGGGGTCTTTGGCGTCTTCGGCGTCTTCGGGGTCTTCGGGGTCTTCGGGGTCTTCGGGGTCTTCGGGGTCTTCGGGGTCTTCGGCGTCTTCGGGGTCTTCGGGGTCTGCGGCCCGAATTTGGGGCACCTCTGCTGCCATCAATGATAAGCAGGCAACAGAAACTACCCAGCCCCCAAAGTTCCCCCAAGTCCCTGCAAGCCCCCAAGTCCCCCACAAATCTCTTCCTACATGGCTGAATCTGTACATGGTGAAGTGTTGCCTCTACATGTATATATATATATATACATACTGTATAGCTACATGTGTTGGCAAGATCCACCCAACTTCCCCCAAGCCATTTCCAAGCCCCAATGTCACGCCCAAGCCCCAAGTACCCTAAAAGTAGAACTTAAATTGTTGAACCTTGGTAGAGGAAAGGGTTCCTGAAGTGTATATTGATGTCAATGTCGGCGCAAGTGATCTTTTTCCATCGGCGTGCTGCGTGACCCTCCTCCCCTTAGGAAAGGAGCTGCACCTCTTTTCAGGGTCTTAGGTCTTGTGGAGAACGATCGCATTTCTAGACACCATCTTCCATGATTTCTTGAGCACCCCAGCAGGCCAAGGCGAAGTGTCCGAACACGTCTCGCCAGAACTTGGAGAACCTCGTGATGGACTGGTCTATTTTCACTGCTTGGAGATTGGGGATTCCATATTCGCAATCTAGAGAAAACCCATGAATATCCAATCTGGTCTGAAACCACTAGAAATTCCCTTATGAAATTTTGAAAGGAAAAACATGCAATGAACAAACTATCAGCAAGCTGTCAGCTGCATCGGAATGTCTTCTTTCGTCATCCCCTTCTATTCATTTGTTGGGGGGTTCGCATGTTGGATTTTTCCATTGATCCATTTTGAGCTAGTCAGTATAACTCCACAAAAACCATCAACCATCATTTCTGGATCATATCCCTAGGAAACCTAAACCCCCAAATCAGCATGGGCTCTGACTGAGCACCGTCATTTCAGGCGCCCAAACATTGGTCTCGCTCCTCTCGGTCTCGCCGCACGGCGACATTGGTCTCGGCTCGGACGCCATTGCCATCCTTGCCAAAATAGATCAAAATAGCTCATATAGGGCTTTCCCAAAATTGGAGGTTTCCCAAAATTGGGGGTTTCCCAAAATTCGGGGTTTCCCAAAATGGTCGGTTTATAATGGAAAAATCACATTCAAATGGATGAGAAAGAGGGGTAGCCCTATTTTAAGAATCCACCATATAGGATCAGATAGGTTTGTCTAAAAATATTGTACCCCCAGGTCGAATGGATTGTTATCACTATCCCCAGTAAATGTTCCATTTGAGGGTGGTCTACACATTTTCAGACTCACCCATATATATGGATGTTTATCAGCATTAAGCTGGTGCCATTGGTCTTGACATGTCTTGACACATCCCGATGTAGAGGGGAGCCGTTCATCGCAATTTTCCGCCTCGCTTTGCGAATGAAGTCGGAAATCCCAAGTTTCGCTCTGGTGTCTCCAAGTTCGGGAGTCAACCCCCGCTTTCAAAATGTGAAATATCCCAGTTCTTCAAGAAAAAAAGCGAGTTCTGGCCAACATGACTAAAAATCATGGAAAAAGCATGGCACCTTTTCCAGACTCCAAGCTGTTGGTCCAAGGCTGTTAGTTCTCCATCAAAGTCAGGTCCTGCCAGAAAAAGCAGATGGGGATGAGGCCAGATGGGGAATTTAACCATCTTATCATACAGATTTAACCATGCAATATCTGAGATTCAATAATCAAATGTTTGTGATTTGGAGATTTGCTGAGTCGCGGGGGACCCTAAAATCATCCAAGTCTAATGATTGGTCATTTTGAATGGCGACACCAATGGTGATAAGGGGTACTCCAAGTTCAAGACACACACAAATAAGCATGAGACTGCAAACATGACTGATGGAAATGTATGTTACATGTCAATCCTTGGTGTAATTCAACAAGGGCACAAAAGAAAGAAACAAGACGGATCTAATGATAACAAACATTGGCTTCCTAGCAACTTTAAGGGATCTTCCTGATCACAACTTCTCCCCAACAAGTAGTGTATCCCACAACATCAAATATCATCACTACACATCAGAATCATTTTCTGGCAACCTCCTGCCTGCCACCAGCAGATTCCTGCCTGTATCGTTGATCTGTCGATAAAGTACCTCCACCGCAGAGGCTGTTCACGAGGTTGTGGATTTGGGCACTTACACTTGTCGGTTTTTTTGATGTTGGGCATACATAAAGCTTGCAGTCAATTGCATGACTTACACCTACCCTTGTCTGAGAATGCCTGCTCAAATAATCCTAAATGATGTGTTTGCTGATCCATAACAGGTTTTCGAGCCTCAGTGTGCCGTTGTAGTAAAGCCCTAGAACCCACGCACTGGAAAATGAAACACTCAATACCGCACTCGCAGTGCCTCTGCATTGTAAAGCATTGTGGTGACTTGCTTCTGCCAGTTCTCTCGCTCCATCGCTGCTGCCTGGTGCTCAAATGTGATATTTAATATGTACGAGTATCTTGCAGTCGGCCAGGCAACACAAGTCAAAGTCTTGGATTTCAAAAAAAGTAAGCTTCGGTGGTATCCCCAACAGCCGCAGCGTTTTATCTTTACAAATCTTTCTGAGGCGTGCTGCGAAGCCAAGCGCTGGAAACCCTGTTGAACCTGTTGAACCTGACCTGGCCCAAAGATTCCCAAAACCTTCTCCAGGACCGCCGGGACCTTCTCTGCAACCTTCTCCGGAACCCGTTGAACCTGACTTGGCTTTGCACCAAGGCTTCCTGGAAACTTCTCCCGAACCTTCTCCGGAGCCCTGTTTAACCTGACCTGGCTCTGCACCAAAGCCTCGCAGGCCTTGTCTCCGGAACCCTGTTGAACCTGACCTGACTCTGCACCAAAGCCTCCCAGAACCTTCTCCAGATTCTTCTCCGGAGCCTTCTCCGGAACCCTGTTGAACCTAACCTGTCTCTGCACCAAGGCTTCCTGGAACCTTCTCCGGAACCTTCTCCGGAAGCTTCTCCGGAACCCTGTTGAACCTGACCTGGCTCTGCACCAAAGCCTCCCAGACCTTCTCCGGAACCTTCTCCGAAACATTCCGAAACCGTGTTGAATCTGACCTGGCTCTGCAGGCCTTCTCCGGAACCTTCTCCGGAACCCATTGAACCTGACTTGGCTTTGCAGCAAGACTTCCTGGAACCTTCTCTGGAACCCTGACCTGGCTCTGCACCAAAGCCTCTCAGACCTTCTCCGGAACCTTCTCCGGAACCTTCTCCGGAACCCTGTCGAACCTCACCTGGCTCTGCACCGAAGCCTCCCAGACCTTCTCCGGAACCTCTGGAACCTTCTCCGGAACCTCGTTGAACCTGACCCGGTGCCTGCACCAGTGCACACCGGAGCTATTCTGGGCTGAAGACCCCATTAGCTTACGCTGTTTGGGAAAAACAGGTCAAGTCAAATGACCTCTTTCTTAACAGAATCAATTTCCACACCAACATGGACCCCTAAACCCCAGCTGCAAATCGTCCTCCATTTCTCTTTCAATGCGTTGCAGCTCGGGTGATCCTTCCATAACTGTCAAATCACCAGGAAGTTCAACCTCGAAGCTTCAGAAAACGTGGAAACATGAGGAAACGAAGTGTCACCATGTAAACGTCTGTCACACCAAGGGAGGATGGACTGAAAGTGTAGGTGGGTTTCCATCTTGCGATTGGCGGTGATATTGTTAGGAAAATATTATTCCGAAATGCAAATAAGTTGGCCTCTAGCTTTGGAAAAGCATTCGCAAAAGAGGAGTATATACAGTAAATCTGCATTCAAATTGAGAATCTGGAGATCGTAAAGTCTGAACGTGCACACAATTCAACGAAGCAGTGTGCCCATCTGCACCATGTCGAGATCCCACACAGACACTTACAAACTCCAGTAGCGACTTGGTACCATGCAATTTGCAACAAGCCGTACCATTCACGTTTGCCAACCAGGTCGAGGTACGCGATTCCGGCTCGCGCAGCTGCATGTGGGAACGATAGCATCAGCCACAAACCATGCTGTGACAGTATCAAATGCCAACATCAAATCAAGTTGCTTCATTGTCAGCAAACAAAGACAAAATATGCAGAGATTCTTTGCAAAAAGAAACTCCCTGGCAGCGCACTCTCACATTCCCCGGTTGCAATAAACTACCAAAATACATCCTAGATTCTTAGATAGGATAGACTTATATTGACTACCAGATATATAGAGATACATACATAGTTTGAGTGGTTCTTTTTTCCTGCCCTAGACCTTAAAAAAATTGTCAGGGTTTGATCCAGAGTTTGCCCACCAGGGTGGTCGAGGGGGAGATGGAAGGACCAGTGAAGCTCTCTCAGAGAATTAGACATTGCTCTATGACGTGTAAACAATCTATAATGTACATATACGTGTACATATACACAATCATGCACGTGTACATATACATACACATACACATCTACATGTCCATATCCATGACCATATACATATGCAGATATACACTGCGTGTGTGTTATTTTTGTATATACATATATATATATATACATATGTCTATATATATATATACATGCACAAGGGTGTGTGTATATGTGTGTGTGTGTGGGTCATATGTACGCATGTGTAGTGCGTACGTTTAAATATAATATAATATAATATAATGTAATGTAATATAATATAATATATACGATACGTATATACAAACATGACATGACATAACATAACATAACATGACATAATAACATGACATAACAGAACAGAATAACAATGAATAACATGACATGACATAACATAACATAACATTAAATTTAAAAAAAAAAAAAAACACTTGGTAACACAACATAACATCAGATAACACAACAGACCATATATGAACATAACATCACACAACATGATGCAACATGCCGTACAGCAACATGAATGCAGTAAGATATAAGCAGTAACACACATGCAGTACCATACAGTACCACACACTGCCAAACAGAACCATACAGTACAGTGCAGTACAGCACGGTGCAGGATGGTACATTGCATGACATTACATGACAGTACATTACATTACATCGCACTACATCGCATTCCATTTCCATCATACATGCACACAATACGATACGATACGGATTACAGATTCCAAAATTCAATCCAGAAAAGAAATATTGTTGGTGATGGATGTCGAATAAAACCAGGCATGCATAAGTGGCCGGGTGAACAGCCCGCGAATGCCACGTCGCAAAAAGGTGTTTTTTTTCTGCATCTGCCTTGAGAAACAACTTCAGCTGTCATGCAACAAGAATTGCTTACAAATCCTAGCTGAAGAATTCGGCAGCATTATAAGTCTTACACTTACACCTTGAGTTGTCGGCTCAATGAGCGAACCAGGGGCTGTCAAATCAGTCCCAATTAATAATTCCTAGAAGAAAACTTATGGATCTGTTCCTGTTTAGAACAGACAAGTCAGTCTTGCTCAAGACTGCCAGCCCATGCACTTCATTGATTGCAGATGGGGAAAATACACAAACGTCAAAAGTGGCACTTTGTGCCATTGCAACAAAGTTCTCTCTACGAGGCCAAGCAGGCACCACCATACATTCGATGGGGCTGCAGGGGCGTCACACTGACTAGAGTAGCGGGACTACATCGGCTGCAACAATCATCAAAACAGCAGCTTCAGCCAAATGAAGCAGGTTCCCGATCTGTCCACTCTGTCCTTAGACATGAACGGTTGCTCTTGGAGGAGGATCGGGTGAGTGGCGTTGTTTTTTTTACACATCCAAAAAAACTTCGTCTGAAAAGGTGAGAACATCCAATTTTAATCAATGTTAATAGATTTTAAAAATCTCGGATTGATGGATTATTATGGATTATCAGATTATCATCATTTTTCCATCATTTTCCCATCATTTTCCCCAGGTTTTGCCAATTCTTCGGCCAATTCAAAACTCCACGGCACCTCTTCGGAGCCCTCGCTGTCCCAGGCTTCAATTTGTTTGTAGCTCAAGGAGTGCCTCACGGGCCAAAATGGCCAAAAATTGCTAAAAAAAAATGGAAAAGTCCTGGTGGTTTTCCGTGTAAACAAATGATGTGGGATCTAATTATGCAATCTCTAGGTGCTGCTTGCGCTGCAATGAGTTTGGCTCACCACACCTTCTTCTGAACTTCCTGCGAGAGTCCTTTGTTGCTGTTGACGGCGAGTCATTGCAGTGCCTCAGCTGAGCAAGCGAAGCGAGATCACACAAGGTCACACAATTGGCTTGGAGATCCTATTCGGATCTCTGTCTCTCTGCCAGCAAGCAACGAGTTCAAAAAATGTTTGGCGATCATTGTTGGCAGGGCTCGCTGACCAAATAGCAGCTTGAGAGGAACGGCTGACTGTTCAGAGTGAGTTCACAGTTGGACTAGCACTGGCAGAACACGAAAGTCAGCAAACATGGAACTTGGATTTGGAGTGTTTCCAAACAGGTGATGAGGCAGAGTCCCACTTCAACGCATCTTTTTTTAACCCTGTCCACTTGATGTGTTCAAAGTGACCGTGGAGGATCAGCCTTTGGCTGTTTCCCTGCATTCAGCAACTTGTCTATGCCACGAGCAGCTAGCCTCACTGTGCAGCCATGCTTTCCACGTAACCATGTAACCATGCGAGCGTCATTGTCACAACTCTCAATCTCCAAGGCGTGGGCAAATCTTTGTCTCGTTCGACAATTTCGGAGTGAAAGCTTGCGAGCTCGCAGTAGACATAGCTTTGAAGGAGCTGGGCAGGGAGACGCCGGGAGACATGGAAAGAATAAAAGCCGGGCAAAGCGGCAAAGGGAAAGAACTCATGGTGAAGCTGGGGCACTGGTTTAGTTGGTTCAAAGTTGTCAAAGCTCCAGTCAATCTTCTTGTTGCCTCAGTCATGACGGTCATGGACCCTCAAAAAATATCATGGCACGCTAATCAGGATCTGGAAAAGTGAGGAAGATTCACACCGGGAGGAGGGCAAGTATCGTGAACCATGTCCTCCTCGTCAAACAAGTGGTCAAAATACCTCAAAATCAGATGTAGCGTTAGGCGCGCTCAGCTGGGCGATGCTTGGCAACGCTTGGCTGTCCCCTTAGCTCCTCAGCTCCCTGCTTGAGTCGCAGAGTGTCTGCTACACTGATTCGAACAGTAGGATCAAATGTCACCATCCTCGAAACCACCTGACTATCTCGGAGCCCGTAGCGACACAGCAAGAAAACGTCTTCCATGTTTTCGGGTGCGCAAACAATGGTAAGCCCATTCCCTCAATATTTTAGCGCCAGATAAAATCACCAGCCCCAGCCATCACCAGCCATCACCAGCCTCAATGGCATTTTCACTGGCAGTTGGGAGAGTCTGCTTCCAGTTGACCTCGGCAGTTGGGGCTCCAGGATCCTCCATCGGATCCTACCGTCAGGTCTGGGGAGATCACCCTGGGTGCAGCCGGGCATTTCGCCAGGAATCCTCGGGCTGTGCCTCCCTTGGGCAACCATAGGCTTTCCGCCTCCCCAAGTCTTCAGAATTCTACCAATGATCCAAGATAATCCAAATGATACTCCGATGTGGTACACCCAATTTCAGAAACCTCACCATTGGGATCAAAACTGGGGATGGTTTATGAAATTGGCATGAATCCACATGAATCCATTTGAAATCTCTTTGAAAACCTGTGAACATCTGTGATCCAAAGCCAGTTCGCAGGCGCCTCAGTCGGTGTGCCCAATGTGCTGATGATCTTGCGGATCTGATCCACATGATCCTTACCTGGCTGGTTTCCCCGCGATTCCCGGCGTGGCGTGACATGTGGTGTATGGTGTTGCTATGTCCCTTTGTCCTGCGACGTCCTACGATCTCCCGTTTTTTCATCTGGGGGGTATATGATGGTATAATTGTCATAAGTCATAACCTACCAAAAATTGACTATATATTTCTGAGTGGGGATCAAAATCCATTTACAACAAGTACAAGCCACTAGGTCGAAGGTGCTGCCAGGTGCCTGCGAAGAGAGGTTTGCGATTGATGAGCTCGCACAGAATGCAGCCCACCGCCTCATGTTGCCGCGAACTTCACACAGCGAAGCTCGGCAAAACGCGAACCTCTCGATGGTAAGGCTGCTGCCCATACGTCGATGGCGACTGTGTACTCCGCAGAATGAAGCATGACCTTTCAGTCCAATTGCTCACAGCAGTCTCCATTCGCTCATGGCAAGGTCCACTCATTTATGACATGGGCCCTGTGGCGAAGAAATAGACTCTGACTCATATGACTCATAGCAGATATCAAGTTCAGGTCGCACGTCGCAGCCCTAAGCCATGTCTGACTTCCCCCAATCGATGGCCTCGGGAGCACGATACCAGCGAGTGACCACATAGTCCGTGCGCCCTGCGGCTTCATCTGACTCCGTTGCGAGCACCTGGGAAGCTCCGCGTGGCGTGGGGTGCAATTTGTAGGGGGAAGAGCCACAATGCTCCGTACGGCGTATTTTTGTCCATAGATTGTGACAGTCCCCAAGATATTGGATAGACATGGATAGTACATCCCCACAAACAACAGGGGTTTTGAACTCTGCTCAATTGGTCTATGTCCTTTTCTTAGACCCCAAAGTGATGTGCAACGTTGCCCATCTTGGACCCGTACACGTGCCAGTCCAAAGTCACAGATCTTCAGGTCGCAGTTTTTGTTGACCTTGCTGCTTTAACTCCAGCTTTCTTCCAGTTTTGTTCCTCAAATATGGTTTTGTTCGGAAATGCCGGATACCACCTATTTATTCCCTTTTTCATAAGGGATGATTTTCAACCATCAAAAAAAATGTTATACATGTTATACCCTATCTTTGGAAAAACCGACTCTTTTCACTCAGCATCAGGATGCAGTGATGGACGCAATCCATCGCTGAGGCAGTTTCCAAAAGATTCGATGGCTTGATGTCTCGATGCCTCAGCGAGTCGCTGTTTTTCGCTGCACCTCTGTGCACCAAATGGTTTACCCTCTGGTAAACTAACAAAAAGCTATGGAAAATCACTATATTTAATGGGTAAATCCACTATAAATGATGCATCTCCCACATATCCTGGATATCCTGGATAGTCGGATAGTATCACTTCTTTTCTGTTGCCGCTGTTGCCGCTGTTGCCTCTGAGTCCGAGTCGTGGTTTGATTGAGGGCCACACACAATGCTCGCACTGTGCAGATACGCCAAGCCTAGGTCCAAGCCGTGACAGATGACCACAGTGCAAGCTCCATCTCCAGATGCTCCAGTCCTCGTAGAACTTGATGCACAAAGTACTGATGATGTTCCTGTGACAGTCTAAGACCAGGCCATGCTACAGCAGAAAAATGAGGACATGTCCATGAAATGTTCTTGCATCAATCTTTCACAACAGGTTTGCAAAAATACGAAGTGGTGTTGCTTTGGAATATTGAATCCAATTTGCATCACCGCCTCTGTCAAGGGTTGTTTGGAGTAGATGACCCTGTGGAGATCCTGCAATCTAACGACGTGCGGTTTGGAGTTCAAACAAATACAACGTTCGTTGAAAAGAGCGGCCGAACTCCCACATTCATCAACTTTGATGGATGACTTCACGATCTCTCCTCATCTTTCACAATCTGTCATCTTCTATCCACTTTCACTTTCTGCACCATGCTTGGCTGCCAGTGGATGTTGCTTGGTGGATGTGTATTCCCCACCCCCAAGAAACCCATCAAGCCATCCAGCCAAGCCGCTGTCTCCATGAGATCGGTTACAATGTAGATGTCCTGGCGTCCCAGGCTGCAAAACACAATTTTTTTTGAGGAGATGGAAAAATAATATGATAAATACCAACAATTGGAAATGATGGGATATACAGTCATACCACAACGATATGATGATTTGGTGTCCGAAAATCACTTATTATACAGTAACTCAGTAACTTCTTTGTGGCAACGTATTATAATTTACATGATAAAGCATGCCATTTCCATGGGGGTTCCATGTACACGTTGGCCTCGAAGTCTGGTCCAGCAGGTGGGTACATGTCAAGGATCCTGATGATATTGTCCTTGCTGCGCTGCAGGGTCTCGTAACTCGTGGCTCAGGATGGCTCGGGTCTCGCTAAGACGTCAACATGATCGAGCTGACGCAGGAGCTTGACCTCGCGCAGGATTCGCTTGCCATCAACCTTGGCAGTCCAGTGGCTTCTCTCGTCAAGGATGCATCAAAAAAAAATACGTTTCAGCCATTGTCACCCGCTCAACCAGTGCAGCTCCACAAGTTGCACTAAAGCTCCGAGGGTCCGTACAAGGTCGTCAAACGCATTGGTAATTTTCTTGACCTTGGGAGGTCAAACTCAGCAACCCGAGATGTCAAGGTGCCCCCAAATGCGGCTGCGCGTGCTGCCATCGTGTCCCCTGTCTTCTTGTCCTCACAGAAAACTGGCCAGCTGCAAAGCAAACTGTGCACGCAGTGCACGCAACATCTCAAACGACATCGTGGGGTCCTGTGGGCTGGTCTCAAAATTTGGTATCGGCAAATTGGTTATTGTTCATCATTGGTTTCCCAATACTTTCCCATATTTTCGAAGTTCAAACTGACATTTTGGGATATCCCTTTGATTTTTCTGATGAATCATCATTTTCCCCATGAAAAGTGCCGGTTTGGGGCATCCAACATATTTTGAGACAACCCATGACATGGAGTCATGGTCCTTGAATGAGGCGACACAGCCGTACGCCCCGGAACCTTATGAGATTGGCAGTGCAGAAGGTAACAGTCCAATGAACTGGTCGACATAGATACATCTATTGTATGTATGTATGTATGTATGTATGTATGTGTGTGTGTATGTATGTATGTATGTATGTATGTATGTATGTATGTATGTATGTATGTATGTATGTATGTATGTATGTATGTATGTATGTATGTATGTATGTATGTATGTCTTATGTATGTATGTATGTATGTATGTATGTATGTATGTATGTATGTATGTATGTATGTATGTATGTATGTATGTATGTATGTATGTATGTATGTATGTGTGTGTCTGTATGTATGTATGTATGTATGTATGTATGTATGTATGTGTGTATGTATGTATGTGTGTGTGTCTGTATGTATGTATGTATGTATGTATGTATGTGTGTGTGTCTGTATGTATGTATGTATGTATGTATGTATGTGTGTGTGTCTGTATGTATGTATGTATGTGTGTATGTATGTATGTATGTGTGTGTGTGTCTGTATGTATGTATGTATGTATGTGTGTGTGTCTGTATGTATGTATGTATGTATGTCTGTATGTCTGTACGTCTGTATGTCTGTACGTCTGTATGTCTGTATGTCTCCATGTCTCTGTGTGTGTATGTATGTATGTATGTATGTATGTGTGTATGTATGTATGTGTGTGTCTGTATGTATGTATGTATGTATGTATGTATGTATATGTATGTATGTATGTATGTGTGTTGTCTGTATGTATGTATGTATGTATGTGTGTGTGTCTGTATGTATGTATGTATGTATGATGTATGTCTGATGAATGAATGGATGAATGGATGAATGGATGACTGGATGAGTGGATGAATGGATGAATGGATGAATGGATGAATGGATGAATGGATGAATGGATGAATGGATGAATGGATGAAATGGATGAATGGATGAATGGATGAATGGATGAATGGATGAAGGAATGAAGGAATGAAGGAATGAAGGAATGAAGGGAATGAATGGAATGAATGGAATGAATGGAATGAATGGAATGAATGGAATGAATGGAATGCATGGAATGCATGGAATGCATGGAATGCATGGAATGCATGGAATGCATGGAATGCATGGAATGCATGGAATGCATGGAATGCATGGAATGGAATGGAATGGAATGGAGTGGAATGGAATGGAATGGAATGGAGTGGAGTGGAGTGGAGTGGAATGGAATGGAATGAATGAATGAATGAATGAGTGAATGACTGAATGACTGAATGCATGCATGCATGCATGTATGCATGTATGTACTGTATGTACTGTATGTAATGTATGTAATGTATGTAATGTATGTAATGTATGTAATGTATGTAATGTATGTAATGTATGTAATGGATGTAATGGATGTAATGGATGTAATGGATGTAATGTATGTCATGTAGGTCATGTAATGTAATGTAATGTATGTAATGTATGTACTGTATGTAATGTATGTAATGTATGTAATGTATGTAATGTATGTAATGTATGTAATGTATGTAATGTATGTAATGGATGTAATGGATGTAATGGATGTAATGGATGTAATGTATGTCATGTAGGTCATGTAATGTAATGTAATGTAATGTATGTAATGTATGTAATGTATGTAATGTATGTAATGTATGTAATGTATGTAATGTATTAATGTATGTATGTATGTATGTATGAATGAATGAATGAATGAATGAATGTATGAATGTATGAATGTATGAATGTCTGTCTGTCTGTCTGTCTGTCTGTCTGTATGTCTGTATGTCTGTATGTCTGTATGTCTGTATGTCTGTATGTCTGTATGTCTGTATGTCTGTATGTCTGTATGTCTGCATGTCTGCATGTCTGTATGTCTGTATGTCTGTATGTCTGTATGTCTGTATGTCTGTACGTCTGTATGTCTGTACGTCTGTATGTCTGTATGTCTCCATGTCTCTGTGTGTGTGTATGTATGTATGTATGTATGTATGTATGTATGTATGTATGTATGTATGTATGTATGTATGTATGTATGTATGTATGTATGTATGTATGTATGTATGTATGTACATACGTATGTATGTATGTATGTACATGCGTATGTATGTATGTATGTACATACGTATGTATGTATGTATGTATATATGTATCTATGTATGTATGTATGTATTTATGTATGTTTGTTTGTTGTGGATGGATGGATGGATGGATGGATGGATGGATGGATGGATGGATGGATGGATGGATGGATGGATGGATGGATGGATGGATGGATGGATATATGTATGTTTGTATGTTTGTATGTTTGTATGTTTGTATGTTTGTATGTTTGTATGTATGTATGTATGTATGTAGGTAGGTAGGTAGGTAGGTATATATATATATATACATTGTATTATATATATATGTATACGAATTGCATACAATATGTGACAATATGTGCATAATCATGTATGTATAGCAGGGTGTGTGTATATAATAGTATAAATATATATATATATATATGGGTGTGTGTGTCCTGAAAATGTATGTGAGCTGTGGCCAAAACCTGAGCTTTTTTCCTTTATACTAACGTACGTCTTCCGCGATTCCGCGGACGGTCCCGCACTACAATTGACTTCCGCAGCGCTTCCGCGAACCCTGGTTTTCAGACCCCTGGTTTTCAGGCCCCTTCCTTGCGCGGAGCTTCCGCGCTGCGGGTTTTCACTTCCGCGAGGTCATCTTACTTTAAGCCCAAGATAAAACGAATACATGGGGGTTTTGGTCGCTGCTCATGTGCATACACACATCTATATATATATATATATTTATATATATATATATATTATATTGTTGTAAAATAAATAATATAGCAGGTGTAATATATCAAAATGGCTACTTCCAGGCTGAATCATTGCCATGAACCAAAAAATACCAAGGCTCACGCCAACTTTCTTCATGAGTTCAAGGTGGTTGGGGACCCGGAAAGTGGACTTGCCATCCTGGAGGCCGGGCTGGTGATAGGATCGCACGCAGCCTGTGCTGGCCATGGCCATAAATTCTCCATAAAACCATCATAAATTCATAAATAAATTATGTTAAAATTATTAAATGAACAAAGAAATAAGCTTCGGTGGTATCCCCAACAGCCGCAACGTTTCATTTTTACAAATCTTTCTGAAGCATGCTGCGAAGCCAAGCGCTGGAACCCCTGTTGAACCTGTTGAACCTGACCTGGCCCTGCACCAAAGATTCCCAAAACCTTCTCCGGGACCTTCTCTGCAACCGTCTCCGGAACCCGTTGAACCTGACTTGGCTTTGCACAAAAGCTTCCTGGAAACTTCTCCGGAGCCTTTTCCGGAACCCTGTTGAACCTGACCTGGCTCTGCACCAAAGCCTCCCCGACCTTCTCCGGAACCTTCTCCGGAACCCTGTTGAACCTAACCTGTCTCTGCACCAAGGCTTCCTGGAACCTTCTCCGGAACCTTCTCCGGAAGCTTCTCCGGAACCCTGTTGAACCTGACCTGGCTCTGCACCAAAGCCTCCCAGACCTTCTCCGGAACGTTCTCCGGAGCCCTGTTGAGCCTGACCTGGGTCTGGACCAAAGCCTCCCAGAACCTTCTTCGGAACCCTGTTGAACCTGACCTGGCTTTGCACCAAAGCCTCTGAGACCTTCTCCGGAACCTTCTCCGGAACCCATGACCTGGCTCTGCACCAAAGCCTCCCGGAACCTTCTCCAGAACCTTCTCCGGAACCCTGTTGAACCTGACCTGGCTCTGCACCAAGGCCTCCCAGACCTTCTCCGGAACCTTCTCCGGAACCTTCTCCGGAACCTCGTTGAACCTGACCCGGCGCCTGCACCAGTGCACACCGGAGCTATTCTGGGCTGAAGACCCCATTAGCTTACGCTGTTGGGGAATAAATTAGCTGGAAGATTTGGAAGCCAAAAACGAGTTCAATCGTGGTCTATGGGTCTTGCTAAAACTGCATGATTGAATCACCACTGAAAATAACCAGCATGTCAAGATCAATTGCTCTCAAATCTCTTCATTTGTTCCCTTTCGATTTGCTTTTCCCACGAGGACAGGACCTTTGGCCAGTCTACCTCATTCACCAGTCGACGTTGCAGCTCACTTCGCCAACTGGCCAACAGACCGTTGGCTTCGCCCCAGGGCAAACAGCTTCTGCCGAACAGAGGGCCATGCTTCCTTTCCAACTGTGGGAAACGTTGCCCCTCCAGGTAGACTAGTCCTGAAGGAAGTGGAAGTTCTGGGATTCCCATTTCTGATGACGTCCATTCCAAACCATGAAAGTGAGCCAACGCACGTGCAATAAGCATGCAGCAGGTAGATGAAGAAATTTCTCCCACGACCTTTATCAGGACATATTCTGAGCCAAAGGACAGTCTTTGTGTCATTTTCAGTTGTAAGGCCACATCATCCCCTTGCAGCATTTCCGTACTTTGCCATGTCTTCTGCACATGGTTCAGAGCTTGCTTGAATCTCCGATATATGTCCTGTTGCTGTGAAAAATCTTCTACTGGTTGGGAGAGTGCCAGGAAGGGCAGTAGGTACCCAAAGTGTTGCTGCAGAGAACTTTGTTGCCATTGCAAAGCCATTGATTTCCCCACGGCTTCACAGCTGTGCAAAACCAACATCTTCAATGCCAATAGCTCCCTCAAGCGACACAGCAAGGCCTCACCCCGTAGGGAACAAGACATTTTCACGAAGATTGTGAATGCCACGGCAGGACACTGGTCGCAGCTGGTCAAATGGCCATCAGTCCCTTGGTGTGGGATATTCTCAATGCCCACTCCAACGCAGTGCAAGGCAGTCTTGAGGTTTCTGTCTAAGTCATTTCTGGTCACTATGCCTGGAATGCCTATCATCAATGCAAAAACCTGAGACACGAGCTCTTTCCCGTTCCCAAGTAAAGATTGAAATCCCTCAGCGTCTGTCTCTTCAACGAACTTTATGCATGAAGGAGAACTGCGAATGTGAGCATACAGTCTGTTCCTTGAGGCAAAGCTTGTCGCACAACATTTACACGCAAAGAGATGCTGGTTGTCTTTGGCACCGGAATCGGTAGCAGAATCCACCAAGCAATCTCGGTATCCTGCAGGTTTGTAGTCATTTTGGAGGGGATCAAGCTCTGTAAGGACTGGAACTCCTCCAAGAACAGCAGTAGTGAAAGCCTCATCATGGCTGGCCTCAAAGAATTTGAAGGGATCGGCTTCGGCTCCGCATGCTCCGCTTTCGCCGAGATGAATCTCAAACATCACACAGTTCGAGGAAGCATCGGCTGCAGCTTTCTGCAGGTCCAAGGGGATTCCAAGTATCACAGGCTCCTTCTCCGCAACAGATGCATCGCCAATGCACAGCACCAAAGCTACCAATTTGAAGTCTGAAACACCAAAATGCTGCAAAGATTCAAAAAGTTTCACCACCTCCAATGGTGCGAAATATCCCCAGGATGCTTTGTGACCTCGGATACCTTTGGATTCATCGAAGAAAGTTTCGGATCTCAAGCTCGGTCTGTCCATCTTGATCTCATGTAAACTTCGCAGTGAATCGACCAAGCAACTCACCACAAAAAGTTTCCGGCCAGGAGCCCGTGCTGCATCTCGAAATCTCTCCACACATCTCTTGAAATAATCAAAGTCCTGGAAGCGAGACAGGCTGGACAAAAAAGAGCCGCAGAATTCACAATTCACCGACGCAATTCTTTGGCTAACGAGCACAAAATCACGAAACTGTGTTTCGTAGTTCAAAGTGTGGGTCCTCGTCTCAAGTCAAGCAAAGGGTCTGTGAACTATTGGTGGTGTCAGCATGCGCCAGCAATTAAATCATACCATACTAAAACTCAAAACCATCCGCGCACCGAACCTGCATCTTGCTCAATGCAGTTTTTTCCCTGATTAAAGTCTTGCTGAGTCTTCCTAAGCATAATACTTTGGAGTACACCAACACGATAGTGATTTATCACACCAGGTCTGGATTTCCATAACCTTCCAATCCCTTTCCTCCAAAACCACCGTCCAAGAGGGGGTCCGGGCGTCCTTTCGTTTGCGCAGGGGATCATGGTGCAGAAACGTGAATCCTCGCCAACGTCCAGGTAATCGAAGCTCCGAATAGCGCGTGTGACCTGCACCAGCACCTGGAGTATCTGAGCTTTGGGGCTTGGGATGGCTTGGGATGGCTTGGGAACTGGAAGCCCAACATCTTCAACTCATGGAAAAATGGGGAAACATATGGAAAATACTCGGGAATTACTATGGAAAATATCATTTCAGTTTGCAAGTGATCCATGGAGATGGTGACAAACAAACCTGATACGCTGCACAGTGGGATATCCTTCAACGGTTGCCTCTTCCACCTGGTGAGTCATAAAACCCTCATGCCTCGTTTTCCAATGGCAATGTACTCCCGCGGATCCAGAAAGGCTCGGAAATCATCGTCCAAACAATCGCGGACCATGGCAGGCAAAGAGAAGGTCCAGTCAAAAGGCATGGCCGACCTGGGATCCCTGGGATCGAGGCACAAAAGGCCGGGACTTCAAAAAGAGGGGACGAACCAAGTACTTCACCTCTCAAGAGGTACCCAAAGTTCAGCCACGCCCAGCAAAAGAAAGAAAAATGAAAGCCACGTTGTCCATCTGCACTGCACCAACACGTACGACACCGAAAGTCAATGAAAATGTGCCAATTTCCTGATGCTTAGTAGTAGGGAATGGGGGAATGACCCAAACTCAGTAAGAATCATCCCATTCCCATCCATTCCCATCCATTCCCATCCATTCCCATCCATTCCCATCCATGCGCTCAAGTAAGATAAGAAAGTCCTTCGTTACTTTGCTGCCAGGAATCTTTCTCCAAGACTTTTTCTGCAACCAAACAGCAGCTAAGCAGTTGGATCCCAATGAGATGGCCCGAAGAAAAGGCGCAGTTTCAGGCCTGACAACGACAACGAGGGACCGTTGGATCTTTGGGACCGGGTTTTTCGTTTTTCCCGCTTGTTCCATGTCAGATGTAATTAACCAGCATGAAATAGCTCATGTTCAAGTGAAGTTTCAATTCAGGCACAATCTGGTTAATTCCCATCACAATCCCATTAAATTCCCACTTGAAATTCATCAATTCTATTGGTTTGAATGAAATGTGTCCCATTTTTGTTGGGAAATTGTTTGAACAGGCCTGGCCTCTCCATGTTCAAACACCAGTGGCACCAGCTGCCCAGCGACCAGCAGGTGGCTTGAGCTGAAGTGCCACGAGGAGTGGCTTGAGCTGAAGAAAATGCTGTGGATCATCTTTGGGAATGATTGTTTTTAACCAGCAACAATTCCAAAACCCTGGTTTTCTACGGTTTTTCTGTGGGTTTCCAGGAAATCCGCATTCTTGTAAGAGAAGATCTCAGACTTGACCATCAAAAAGGCTTTTGGAGCAATAACATGTCATATCCAAAATAAAAAGAGCCAAGAACGGTCGAAATTGACGTCAAATGTAATCTGCTTTTGGTAGGATACATGGTTTGGGTATTCATTTCGGGATACAGGGGCAACTGTCGATCCTGCTTGCCATCGACTACAACCTCTTGAAGGTCATATATCGGCATAACACCTCGGTCCCGGAGGTATTCCGGTGAACTATCTGGCATCGTCCCTCAATTCGTTGAATTCAAAGGTGTTTGAAAATTGTTGTCCATGAATAGATTACAGAGTGATACAACGTTCACATTTTTCCAAAGATGCTTTGAGTATCTGTGGGTATCTTTCAGTATCTTTAGGTATCTTTGGGTTTTCTTTATGGGCCATTTCCTAACAAAGTTCATTCATCCAACGTTCATCAGCTTCGCTTCCGCTTCCTAAGCCTTGAACGAATAGGAAAGAGCCTATGAAAGACAGACCACAGGAGATCGGTCGCGACCGAGGCCTGCATCTACCTGGCGCTCAGTTTTGGATGGCGAAAAACCTTGGGAACCCCCTGAAAATCCATGAAAATCCCACGAGGCCATAATTTTCCCATGGATATGCCATAAATCAGGAGTTGTCCTAACTGATCTCCAACAAATACCTGAAAGTGATTCGTTCAAAAGCCCCCAAAATGGGGCATGTACCAAGCCCTGTGAATTAATGCTAAATAAATTCAAATTACAATAGATTTGGGCCCCACTTCGAGAAACAAAAATGTTTCGCAATACTGGAAGAGGTTGCAACGAGCGCAGGCCGTGCAATTCCCATCTGGCCCAAACCCCTGCTAACATCAAGTTGGAAGGTTTCGAGTGGAACTGGCTGTGAATGTGTGTGTGTGTGTTTATGTGTGATGCTTGAATGCAAAGTGCTCAAAAATTGGTTCAATTATATGCACTGACATGCACTGACTACAAATCAGTTTTTGTATGCTTCGGCCAATGCTGCTGCTACTAGTGCACGTCCATGATTTGTGGAAGAACCTTTGAGAGTCTCAAAGCTGCAAAGTGTTGCATCATGTCGCATCAGGAACTTGACAAATGCAGACAAATTGAAAGCACCAATGGAGTGCATCAGACTCATCTTTAGTTGTGGTGCGGTGGAGATAAACTAACCACCAATTGTTGTGTGATATGTAGGCCAGAACTTTCAACCCTCATGGGCACAGAGAGTCTATTTGCAGCACAGCTAAAAAGCAGCAGAATTGGAAACTCAAGCCTTTTCCACGAGAAACACCTAAGTCAACAGCATCTACAAATCAACGCCAGAAAAAAAGCTCGCCAAGGTTGTCTTGTCCGAGCTGCACTGATTACCTCTCCCATTTCTTCTGGATCCACTTTGTGCCATCTGGCCACAGGATGCCATCTTTGTCCCACTTGCCAATGGTTTCTTGTGCTCCATTGATGCGTTTCCGGTCCACCACATCCCTACCAACTTCTTCCACCACCAGTTCATCAGCATCCTTTGAAGCCAACTTTACCTTCAATGTCCAGTCATAGTATTGGACATCTCTGCGCTTTCGGCAATCAAATTTCCCTTCCTCCCCAGCACCTGATTTGTCATATCCATCGATCTTCCCCTTGGTCCCATCAAACGCAATGACCAAGGACCGGTCACAACTGGGATGCTTGGGATCTTCATAACTTCCAAACCACTTGGAGGCTCTACCACCCACCTTCGCAGGAACTCCCTCTTGAGCTGAGGCCCCTGAGGCCCCTTGGCCTCCAAGTCCCAGGCCCACAGAGAGCGAGGACAGGAGGACTCGTCGCGAGCCGGAGAGGCCGGAGAGGAACGTCTCTCCCATCGCTTGAAACAAACAGAGGCCGAGGCCCAAAACGCCCAAACGGAGCGGCGAACGGAGCGGCAAACGGAGCCCACGAGCTTTCAACGACATGGCGCCCACTGGAACGGCTGGGGCCCCAAGAAAGGTGAGAAAATGAAATGCAATCGACATGATGAAATGTCCTTGAAGGTCCATGGGTTGTATACTGCTGACGTCTATATAAATAGAAATCTGTGTCATGAATTGTGCAAGATATTCTGACCTGAGCAAAAGGAAGGCAGGTTCAGTATAATCCAGGTTTTGGCCCATGCCCCAATCAGCGACATGTTCGCAGACGCTTCATCCGCTCCATTTTTCAAGTCACTGTCTGATTTTGCAGCAAATCCCAAATCCAACTTGCCTTGTTCATCAAAAGGGATACAAGGCAAGCAGCCAAAACAACGAGACTTGCACCTGGCTTCAGGTTGGCAAAGACACGAAACACATGCAATGCACAGAAAACTCAAATTTACTATTCGCGTTGTCAGCTTGACTGTCCAGTTTCTTCTATAGCAATCTCAGTGAGTTTTCCAGCCTTTGTGCAAAGTGGACCACTCGGTGCACATGCGGATCGGATCGGAGACTACCTGAAGGCGATCCCTTGGCTCTCTGCGCTGCATCTACCATTTTAGAGCCTACCAAATGGTGCGAAAAAGACCAGAAACAGCTGTGACAGAAGCAGCCACTAGGGGCCTTTGAGTTTCCAGATGGTTTCCGTTCATCAGATGGTGCCACGCGCTGAAGATGTCTCTTCATCTGACAAGGGGCGTTTGACAAACCAAATGCGCAAAACCATGGAAGACCCTCCATGATCACCATGGATACTTGTCAAGATTCCAAGAATGGACATAATCAACATGAGGTAAGGAGACTATCTTGTGATATTCACCTGCACATATGTGACGTGGTCAAAAGATGGTGTGTATACATGTGTATATATATATATATATGTGGTTTATGTCATCCCATCATCATTATAAAGTTCTTATTATGGATATATTTTACCATGAAAATGCCCTGGCTTAATCTTATCCAACCCTGCACACGCCTCCTGTGTTGCCTCTGAAGTTCCGGGCAACTGCTCCAGGAGGGACATCACGTCCTGGCAAGACATTACGGGAATCTCCATGGCTTCAAAAAATTCACCAGCCATCAGGACCCATCATCCAAAGTTTTCTCAATTTTGGACCTAAGATGACCTAAGATTCATAGCCGATCTCGATAGATCTCCCAATTTTGGACCTAACTAAGATCTCGATCATGAAATCTCATGCTTCATGGCTTCACCGTTCCCCTCCCCAAGTCATCGACACCTTGACACCTGGATTCTGCGCTTTCTGTTTCACCAGGGCCAGACTTTGCAAGGCCTGAATTTCACACTGGAATTGGGGAAAATGCCAACTGCCAACTGAAATCAGCGTTGATTCAACGCGTCAAAATGAGGGTCACCTGCCTCTTGTTGCAACTTGGCGCAACGCTTTTGAACTGGAGATAGATCTTTGTCCTGGCTGACAAGAGATTCATCAGCCACCGCGACGGGGTTCGTACCGCAAATCAAGTGGAAAGCCACCCGGAGCAAACCGGATGTTGAAGATGTCTCTCAACTTGGAGGTAACCATTGGTCACCGCCATTTGTTAATGGACAGTTCCATTCCGTCAGATATCTCAACTGACAAAATCGTAGAATTAGAATCCCACGGTCGACAAGCCGTCTCCAGCAGTTCTCCTCTCCACGCGCCGTTCCTTGGTTGGTGGCATCATCGCCTTCCTTGCCACCTGGAAGGAAAGACTTCAGGATGTTCATCAAAGTTTATCCACCCTTTCATGTCGAAAATTATGGGTTATTTGACCGTTTGACCCCCAAAATGTTCATCAACAAACAACTGCAACAACGGGGATCGTTTGATGTCAACCACTCCTGTGGGGGTCCATGATTTTGAAGCTACACTCATTGGTTTCAAGGGAAAGTTTCCAGGAAACGCACATCTTTGATTATGTTTGATAGGAAAAACAACGGTTTCCTGTCGTTTTTTCGCGGGAAAAACATGGAAAATCCTCTCAAGCATACACCCATCGCCCTATCAACCTCCACTGGGCCTGATAGTTTCCACTTCAGCATCAACGCCTCTTCAGCGTCAGAGAGTCGTCCCACCTGTCTCGAGATGCGGGAGCGGCTAACCCACCGATGCTGATGAGGGATTTGGCAATTGGGAGGTAAACAGGGTACAAAAATGCGAAACACTCCAAGAAAAACTCAGAAGAATCCTTGAACCTCCAAAACAATTGGATACCTTAGGGTTCATAAGACCAATTGCCATTCGAGATGTTCATAGATCAGCTGGCTCCCGCCGGTGCCTTCGCAGCAAGGAACGCCCATTTGCCACACAACTCCGCCCATTCCAAAGCAGCGGTCACGGTGTTCTCCTCAGTGAAAAGCGTGCCACCGACATTCGGTTGACCCCCAAAGAAACCATCGATTCATCTTCCATGATGATGGTAATTGAGTGATATTGAGGATCCTAATTCCACAACAAGATAGAAATATGATGAACTATGCACTGATTAGAGTCATCCCGATAGAGAAGAGAGTTATTGGAGATTATTGGTTTTTTTCTGGGAGAATCAGCTATTCTGTCATCTCAGCCAGGCAACATTTGGGAGCAAATGTTTCGAAGCATCCAAGACTTCCTTGACAGGTTTGGGCAATGAAACCTCTCATCGCTTTGAGGTTCTTTATTGATATATAATGGGGATATAAATGTATCTACATATATATGTGTATATATATATATTAGAAATCCCCGGAGCCACCACAGTTTCTACCTGAAACCATCCGCAAGACTGCTTTTGGGATCGCCTGAGCCGCAAAGTGTCTCGGATGTTCACCAACCTGAAGGCCAATGTGGTTGGAGGTGTGCTGCTTTCAAATTCCCTATATTTTAAAGTTGCCAAAAGCAAGGATCCGCCCTGCAGCAAAAGCTCTCCAAATAGAAAGCGCACCAACCTCTTATACAGCCAGACTTTACAAGCCTTCACTTGAACTTTCGCAAAATGTTGGTAAGTCTTGCCACCAACGTTCTTCTCAGCATACTTAGAAGCCTTCAAATACTTTGCCAAATCCTCGACGCGAGGACCCTTCTTGGACTCATGCTGAATGATCCACAGGAGACAGCTATGCTGATCAGGATCTGCAGCCAGTTCTGCATACGATTTCTTCAAAGGAGCCACAGCGGGAAGCTCGCACAGGGTGTTGCCCCACTCCTCAAGGCATGTCACACCAGCTGGCAGCGAAATCTTTTCCTGACCCGGGCTGGGCATCACTGGTAACCGGCCTGCCGGGACATCGTGACTCGAAGGAACCATGCTTGTCGGCAAAGTCCAAGATTCACCATCGTACTCAGAGGTTGTCAACAGTTCATCATCGCAGTCGCGGTGACGCTTGCATGCATCTGTCATGGCTCCAGAGAAACTATCACCACTCGGCTGAGAGGCATCTCCTGGTTGTACACCAAATTGATCCATGCGCACCATGATCTGCTTCATCAGCTGAAACTCTTCGGCTGACACTGCTTTTCCAGACATCTCATGAGACATGGCTGACATCACGAAGGCTAAGGGCGTAAGCTATAGAGACTGATGTCAGTGTTGACATGTCAGCAAAACTCAAAGGCACCAGAAAAACTTGAGACTGCGGTTGATTTGGAAAAACGTTTCAAAACATGCATAGCTTGGATTGTGAAGCGTCAACAAGCTTTCAGGCAAATGGATATGTCTCGCTCCCAGCGAAATCACCACACTCGAGATGTGCAAAACGTACACTGCAACTTAGTTTATCCCCAATCAAAACTCATCATCCCCAGGGCCCTTATACTATAAACGCGAAACTTAGTGCACCTAACACAAAACAGTGACTAAGATCCCTCGGTTGACTCAGACTCTTTGGCTTTGGTAGTGGAGCGGCATTTGTTGTTTTGGGCACGATCTTGAGCTTTCTGTTGGCGGAGAATTCTCTCTTCCTTTATGCGCTACAACACAGTCTGCTCGTCGGCTAACTGATATCTACCTTGGCGAATGACTGAACGAAGTAGATCCAAGGGTTCTCCCTTATCCTTGGTGAAAGCGTCAGCGACCATGTGGCCAGTTGGGCACCACCTGGGCTCTAAACCACAACGGCTGATGGATTGACGAATGATAGCTATGTCTATTGCAGTACGCTTATCATCTAGGGTTCCACCATTTCCAATTGTGTTAAGATGGTCATAAAGCGAACGGCAATCGCTGATTCCCACTGGCTTCCTACGTCGCAACACTGTGTCAACATCAGAGAGACTGTAAGGGCCATCAAGAGCTTCGGCCAAAACTAGCAAAGTCCATTCTGCAATGCCAGAGGCCACGGCAAAGCTTTGTGCTTCGCCGCTGAGCGTCGATGAAAAGACGCGAGGCAAACGGTATGATCGCCAATTCATGCAGTGGATTGGCACATCCTCTCCACGAGAAAAACTCTTGGGAGCCAACGCCAACAACCAACCTCCTTGTGTTTGCATGGACTGAGTATTTGCAAAGGCAGCATCTGACCAAAACACAACCGTTAACTCAGAGGGCCCTGTGATATATGGCACTGTGATCTTAAGATCTGATTGCTGTTTGGCCCTACGCACTGCTTGGTTGACTTGCAACAAATCCTGCACTAAAGGAACCGGAAAACACTGCTGTGATACGGAGGTTTGTACGGCCAAATCTGGTCGGCTTTGGGAGCTTAACCAGCCTAAGGCTCCGTTCACCGCACGCAAGGCAGCTACTTCTTTCGGTGTGGCAGGCAACCAGTACTTTCTAGCTCTTTCACGTGGCACATGAATTGGTTCGGGATAGTCCTTCTGATGATATGAGATTTCTTTCTTAGTTGGATTCTGTTCATACATAGTTCCTAGGAACTCACCAGAGCCTGTTCTCCACTTCCTAAAAGGGAACCGCTGCTTCAACAAGGCAATTGCTTTGTCGTAGGCTTCTCCACTCCCTCCAGTGATGGTGTCATCCACATGAGCGCCCAATACCCCTTGAAGTTATCCATCAGGTCCAAAACACCAGTACAACCAGCTGTCAAACTTTGAACGAACAAAACCTGCCTGCAAAGTGACTTCATTGAACTCTTTGTACGAGTTTGCCGGGGCATCATTGGCTCCATAGATATTTCCCAGAACCTGCGCCAAACTTCCCGGTGCAACACCTGGAACTCCTCCTGGAGGAAGCTCAGCGTACACTGGATTTTGAAGTGCTTGATCTAGAACATTTGCTTCTAGGAAAGCTCCTTTGATGTCTCCTAACCCCATGGTCCACCTGTGGCTGACAATCAACTGAAGGGCCAAGTTGCGACCTAGTTGTGACAAAGTTGGAGAATGGCATTTCCCCGCAAGCACTTTCTGAACCAAATCCGGATCATGATGACCTCTCAAGCACCAGCGAGATTTCACTCTGGTGTCATTGTCTTCATGTTTCTCGGTGATGACAAAACGACTGGACATGATCCTATCGGCTTTATGCTTGCGAATTGTTGCTGCCTCATGTGCAGGAATCACTTGAATGGCATGCTTTTCATCCTTCAGGGTATTCCACTCTATTGTCTTAGATTCATTGATCTTATCTTGAAGATCGGGGGAATTATTTGAGTGGTGTAATTCCTTTTGCATTTTCTTCCTCATGAAAGACGCCACAAGCACTTCGACTCCTGCATCTGGGCAGTCTGACAAACAAGAGGCCATCAGACATTCGTCACTGGGCTCGCCGGTCTTGGCAGTTTTCATGGGTGGTCCCATGCTAGGTTCTCGGGATTGAGGCCGCTTATGGGCCTGACTGCGCTCTTCCGTCAGCTCTTGAACTGCATCTCTCAAGTCCTCAACCTGAGTTTGAGTTAGTCTAAACACAAAGGTGTCCGATCCTTTGTGTTGACGGACACGGATTGGGCCATATGAACCTGACTGTGATGTGTCAATGCTGTCATGAGATACACTGTATGGTTCACTGTGGACTTGAGGGACAATGGCATCTGACGGTTCGGCATTCGGCAGGGAATTCGGTTCCTCCGGCACTGTTGGCAGAGGAGCTGGCATGGAACTCCTTGATGTCTTTGGCACTTCTGCAGGGACAATCCAAAAACGTGTTTTTCCTGTCCATGGTTCCTGCTGCACACTTTGAGATTACGTTTATCTGGCATGGACCAAGGGGCATCTACCCCTTCATCTTGTTCACACTGACAATTTGAAACAATGGATGTCAAGCGCCAATCATCAAGTTTGAACTGCTGCACTACTGGATCATTTGGGTCAGGCGTAAAAGTGTGAGTCCTCGGTTCCACATGAATCCTACACAACAGGTCACCCTTCTGAACCCAGTGGTCTCGCTCCGTGGAGTTTGCACGATTCTGTGAATCCGCTAAGGCTGGTGGCGGATCCTGATTGGTGAGGTCCACAAACTGGTGTCCCAACAGATTCTGACCCTTGTCGATCAGGTCTGTGAGACCAAGCAATTCACGTCCATCAGTCTGGGCTGCCAAACGCTCTTCCATGGAAGCATGGCGCAAATGCTCAGGAGCTACTTTGAACATGTTCTTTCGATGAAACACCAAGAAATTGCGACCTACCTTTCCTAGAATCACTGCTGTTCCCCACCAACGACCACCTACCAGACGAACACCACGCTGATATTTCTGGGTGCGCCAGTAACACACCAGGTCACCTGCAATGAAATCTCTTTCAACCCTTGGACGAGCATTCAGGGCAACTCTCAGGGTCTTGTCATTTTGGGACAACACTACGGCAACCCTGGCTGACGCACGAATTGCTCGGGCTCGAGCATGCAAAGGGGACGACGAAGCAATTGGGCAAGGCCAATCTTGAAGCAGGTCTTCAGGAACCCTGGAATTTCGACCAAACACCAACTGGCACGGACTAAGGCCTTTGTTATTGATGAGTTCATTCTTGCTATTGGCAGTTTGGATGATGCATTCTTCAAACTCCTGCTGAGACTGCGGTTGCACCTGATCCAAAACTTTCTGAAGAATTAGCTCGAACAAGTGGCCATGCTTTTCAACCTTTCCAAGTTGATTATGTGCTTCAGCTGCAATGCTGGTCATTCTGATCCCGGACTGCTCCAAAAAGGCAATAAAGGAATCAGCTGTGTTGGTGCGGCCTGAGTCCATCAGTACTTCGACTGGTGGGCCTGCCCATCTCAACCAACCACTTGTGAAAAGACGTCTCACCACCTCAGCAGTTTCCACTTCGAAAAAGGGCAACATGACCTGATAGCTAGAGGCATAGTCAACAGCGTTCAAACACTTGACACGCTGATTTGGTTTCCAACCAGGGACTATCTTGACGTCAATACCCACACGGTGATTAAAATCAAGGCATGTGCTGGGCGAGGCTGGCAGACAAGGCGTAGGCCTCTGTCTCTGGACGCAGACAGGACAATCTTTCTCGAAGTCTTTGGCCAGGGCAAGCGCTTGATCCGTTGCACCAGCATTTCTTAAAATTCGGGTTAAATCCTTATCAGAGGGGTGCCCCAAATTATTATGCAATTTCTTAAGAGACTGCAAAACTGCTGAGTCGGAGTGTTCCTGGCTCTTGCTTGCGGCCAGCACTTCAGAGATGTCTTGGGCTACAGCTTCTGGGCAGCTATCTACGGATGCTGACTCACACATCGGTGGGTCCTGAAGGCATGCAAAGGAACACAGGTGTGAAGCAGGGTGAACGCAACTAAGCCATGTTCTACAAAACTTCGGAGTGTACCTAGCAGACCCACTACTTATGTTTTCACCATCCGAACCCTTACCAGCAACTATGGTATGAGCATGGTGTCCTGGGCAGGTCAAAGCCAAGGACTGCATATCGGCATGCGACACCATCAGGGCCGTAGGCTTGAGAATGGCCGTGCCGTCAGGATCAGCAAGACCGTAGGCACACATGTCGGCTCTGCACTTGAACATGGACTTGGTGGCTTTCGCCATTGGTTCATACTTCCACATGTCTGAGCTCCAGGGATGTTCGATCAGAACTCTTCCCCCTCGTTTGATTTGCTTTTTGATCTCCTGCACGCAAAAATCTACCTGCTTTTTGGCATACCGGCTCTTGATCAGCTGCTGTTCCATGGTCAAGTGTTTCCTGTTGAGTCGATACCAACCACCCCAATGCTTGCACTCGGGACACACTACCAGAAGATCAGGCTTTGCCCGGTCCAGCTCGTCACTCACTTGCTGCTGCACGGATGGCTTTGTGAGATCCCATCCTTGCTGAATGTCATAAGCCAAACCTTTTTCACCTAACTCTTCGGCGATTGCTGCAAAACGGGGAGGAGAAACAACTCAGCGACCAAACACCCGCCTGATGACTTCTGCCATGCTTTCTGTTGTGCAACCAGAACTCGAGCCTCTCTCTTGGTGAGTCCTTGATGTCGTTCCTGAGGAGACTGCTTGGCTTCCATCACCTGTTCAGCGACACAGGCCTCATGAGATTCTGGAGAAAAGTCCAACAAGTTGAGGATGATCTGACCAGCTTCGTTGTACTGCATAGGTCGAGACAAACTATCCAAAACAGAAATTATCTCAGAATTGAAATCCAGCTTGGTTCGAAGACTTTTCATTGTGGCACGACTGAGAAGCAAAGGAGCTTCACCCTTGATGATCGCTGCTTCGATGTGTCCTCGTTTTCCAAAAAGGCCAACTGGCATCGTCACCACGCGTTCTGACCACTCCTCACTGCCGTTTCCAAACTTGAACAAATTGCTCTCCAGCTTGGTCTTGCGAGCTGGCATATCCAGACGATGGAACAACCTCATGAATTCGTTCAACGTTTGCTGTCCAATCAATGTCTTACTGCAACCAGAATCGATGATTCCGAAACCCGGGGACGAGACCAGCAGGACCTCATTGGGTTCTTCTTGCTAAGGAGCATGAAGGACCATGGCTGCTGTCTGCTTCTTGTTGCGATCTCCATCGGATGCAGAACCAGAAGACTTTAATGTAGACTTCGGCAAGGTACAGTCTTTGGACCAATGTCCCACCTTACCGCAATTCCAGCATTTTGACTTCCGTCGCAAGTCAGTGGCATCTCGTGAGAACTGCTTCTTGACGGACAATGCCTGTGTGAATTTCCTGCCCTTCTGCAAGCAAGAAATCTCATTGCACTTCTCCCGCCATGTGGCGGCCAGCACCTCAGCTACTTCAGCCTCTTCAAAGATCTCGGAGGGTGCAGTGGTGTCCTCCCGGACTCCATGGTCCGCCAGAAAGGCTTCCACATCGAGAACTACACCGTCACTGAGGTCCTTCTCGGGCTCTTCAAAGCTAAGGTCCTGATCTACTGTGTCTTCTTCCACAACGTAAGCTACGGAGTTGCGCGACCTGGATACCTTACCTGGTGCTTTGAAATCTGGAAAACAAGACCTCATCGCGGCCATCACTGTGTCCAGCTTCAAATCTCCCTGGGTCTTTGCTGTCACGATAGCTCTCTGGTCCTCATTCAGGCCTGAGGCGTGAAGACAAATCCATCCACGAGCCTCTGTTGGGAAGTCTACGCTCACCTTCCTCTGACACTTGGAGAAGACCTCCTGGACTCGTGAAGGCAGTCATGGTCTCTCCCTCAGAAGAGGTAATTTGAAAAACTTCTCTCAAACATTCAGCCATCCAGTCGTGTTTCTGCTTGTCGGGGAAACGTTCATCCAAAACAGACCATATGTGCTTGTCACCATTCTCCTCCATCATCATTTCCAAGGTGACATGCTCAACTGTTTCTAAGGCTAAACCGTCCAGCAAACAGAAAACAAAAGGACCACGTTGCTTTGGGGTGAGGTCTTTGGCTGCGGCCATCTTCGCCTCAACCCAAAGCCTCCACTTCCGATACTCTTTCCCATCCAGGTTTTCACCATTGAATCTCTTCCATTGGGCATTCTCTCGGCTATCCGAAGCCATGGCTTCTATCACTTGGGTGTGCTGCTTTCCAGCCAGACCCTTTCCTAAGGCCTATGGGCTACACGGAAAAATCTAACCAGAGCTCCGCTATACCAGTTAGAAATCCCCGGAGCCACCACAGTTTCTACCTGAAACCATCCGCAAGACTGCTTTTGGGATCGCCTGAGCCGCAAAGTGTCTCGGATGTTCACCAACCTGAAGGCCAATGTGGCTGGAGGTGTGCTGCTTTCAAATATATATATATATATGTAAACATATAAGGCCGTATAACCAACTTATGATTGCACTAATATTCATAACTATGTTGCTCAATAATGTCTATTATAATCTATACATAATATATAAATATACATATATCTTATATATATAATATCATGTATATATATATCATATATATATATATATTGATGTTTAGTGATGATATCGCTACACAAGGGCGCCTGCGCATCAGCGACATCCCCCCGCAGCTGATGAACGGAACAAAGAGCAACCTACGGCTGGGCAGAAAATCGCGAACCGAAAACTGGGCACCCTCCAGTCATGGCCATAAAACATTGGATTTGCATGGATTATATGGGTGTTCCCTTTTTCAGACAAATCAACGGAAAAATTCTACGCAACTTCATCGAATCTCAGGAATCGGAGTATTGTATGATGCAAAAAGGGTACCGTATTATACATATGTATATATATATATATATATAACACCATATATATTTATTTATGCATTCATTTGTTCGTTCATTCATTCATTCATTCATTCATTCATTTATTTATTTATTTATTTACACACACGTGAACACCAATCTGGATAGATTGCGTAAATGTGTTATATACCAAAATTACCAAAAAATGCCAAACCATCCAATTTCTTGGCTCCATAAGCTTGAGCCCCACAGGTCTGCATCCCAACTCTGCTTGGCCTGAGCTTGCAGCTCTCGCCAGCGAAGCTTCTGCGAAACCTGAGCGTTCATTCAACGCCCGAGGCCGCCGCAAACACGATCGACTCAGACCCGCGCATGTTCCGTCGAACCTGCCATGATTCACGGTGATTTCTCTATGATAGACGAAGTGCACAACAAGCACAATAGCCATGGTCATTGATCGGCTGAACCTTGCCCAGCTTCGCTTTGCCTTCCAAGATTTACAATACAAGTCCAATACAAGTTGGACAAGGAATCGAGCTGGTCACAAGGCACGCCTTCTGGAGCACCTTCCCTGTGCAGTCTTCAGACACGACGTTGCATGTTCCAACGCAGGCACGGCCTAAGATCTGCAGCACCAGAGTCAAAAGAGTGCCATGAGTCGAAAACCTGGTACCCTTCTGTTCACCCAAAAGTAGCTGGGATTAATGGTCCATCCGATGGCATTGTAGGTTTTGACCCATTCCCACTATAGCACCCAGCACAAGGATGCATCCAGCAATCTAGGAATTCTCATGAATCACCATTAAATATCGATCATTGATCATCATTCATCATTCAACATCATTCAACCACATCTACAGCATGCAGCTCTCATCTGTCCACGGGATCCTGGGGCCCAGACCAAATCAGCCGACTCCAGGTCTCCCTCTTCACATTCCTTCACCAGACGAAGTCCCAGCTCCAGGACGGCTGCTCCTTCCAAGGCCGGGTCCTTTCCATGCCTGCACCGCCGGCAAGGCAACCCAGGCAACCCAGGCAACCCAGGCAACCCAGGCAACCCAACAACTTGGAGTCTGATGAATTTACGGAAAAACATCCACAGCTCTGCTCAAGAGCCTCCCGCCTCTGCAAAGCTTGGGCAGCCAGCCGAAAGAAGCGCAGGGCATCCTTCCACAAGGTACAAGACAAACTAATCAAACTACAACCTACATCCCCAATGGCCCCAAACTTTCTTTCCTATGCTGGGACGAATTCATATCCGCGAATTCTGCGCCTTGGCTCCCATGGCTTCAGCAGCATGTCCCATGGACAAGTTCAAAAGACCTTCTCGCCTGACGTTGTGCTTCAACGGATTTTGTTGGTTGGGAAAATCTACAGGAAACCATGGTTTTTACATGTTTTTACCATAATTATTTGGGGGATTCCTGTACATTTATTTTCACATCAGCCAATTCTGGGAATGGTTGGATGGCAATCCACATCATCGGGGTAGTGAAAATAAATGCCCTGGCAAAAAAGGTCTTGTCCCTAATTGCAGAATATAGTATGATACCAAAAGTTGGGCGCGCAATTCTGACCGCATATGAAGCGTCAACACATCAAAGAGCCGCATTCTGGTTGCAGCTTTCCAAACACCTCAGAAGACTTGCCATTTGGAAATGTCAATGTGACACATTGAATTCGCGCCTGGAACACTCCGGCTCTGGAAATGGGACCTGAAGCCATTTCTTCAGGAACCAAGGCTGGTGCAGCAAGTCAAGTGCCCAGCGCCTGCATTCCTGGGGTTGGCTGTATCAAGGATGCTGCCCTGCGTCCATTCTCAAGGGCAGCTACCTCGGAGCTTCGCATCACCATGGTGATTTGTGCCCCAACCCCAATAATTATGACCCGAGGATGACTTCGCTTGTGGAACTTGTGGAACCCTTGAAGTGAAACCCATGGTAAATATGAAAAGCTCTGACAGTTTCATCAGTGGTCATGGGCAGAGGCTTCGGTGGTGTCACTTTTTTGGAAATCTCCAAGTTTTGCTACCCTCATTAAATGAGCACTTTTTGTGAAATATTTCTTCTCGCGCCAAAAATGATGTTTCGCTCGGAAAAAAGTCTGAATGCATTTATATAAACTACAAATGGCCTAAGGATTTTGTAGGTAAACCCAAATATGTGGCACTGCAACATGTGACCAAGGTGCAAAATCATTCATTGCTGCCAAGCTTTCCGCAGCGCCCTGGCCAGCGGCACGTTCTGACGACTAAGGGGACAACTTAAAGATATCTTCACCCAAGAAGACCAAGTAGAAGTGGAAGGGGGACAATCTCAAAGTGCAAATCTTCCCTGCCCTAGGTCATGCTAGGTATATAATGGTAATTAACCTTAATGGTATATAGTCAGTAGATCCCCGCTCACCTCAAGTGCATCGAAGGCAAGTGCGCGCAAAGGTCTGGCCAGCAATCGTTCAATGGGTCCACCCTCCTGGAAAAACCACTGTGACCATGAAAACTTCATCCTTCGCGGCTGATTTGAACGGAATTGGTGACCTTACCCAAGCCCCTCTCCTGTTGATCCAGAAAATCAATCGTCTTGAGGAAGAGATTATTCGCCTCACAAAAAAGCGATGAATGCGGCCTGATGCTTTCGACAGCTGAAAAGACAGCTGCATCAGTTTTCACAAAGACAGCATTCTTTCAGTCTCTGCTGCGGCCTCTGCGGGTTTGCCTTGTTTCAAGAGCTGAACACCCAGTCGAACCCAATCTGATGGCTCTTTGCCCTGGCAAGTCCCCAGTTCGCAGGATTGAAATGTCTGCAGTCACAGTTCGCATTCCCACAGCTTCCAACAGTGTCCAGTCAGATATAGGAGATGAACATGGAAACCATGCACCCTTCATGCCCATCTCAAGTCGCTTCAAAAATCTGGCTGCCAGGCGTACCCAAGTCTCTGGCTTTGGGTACAACTTGGATTCGAGACACTTCACCTGCTTCTGAGCTTCCTAGGAGGCTAGGATGCAGAAAATATATGGAGTGGACCTGAAAATGTTTGGGACACTCTATCAAATGTGCGTGTGTGTGTGTGCGCGCGCGTGCATGCATGTATTTATAATTTATATATGTGAACTATTTTGAGTAGGTAACTGCATAGTGTTCTGGATATGGGCTCAAAATTCAATTTTTTCGGACCCAAAGAATGGGGGGCGTCATATCGCAACAGCTAAAATTAATGTGGTTAATCCCTACACTTGTTGATGTGAAATCATCATGCAACACAACTACAAGACAAGTCACAACAGGAACAATAGAAATCTCACATTGCCTCTGATCACTGGAACATTGCGTATCTCACAGTTATACAGTTATACAATGTTATACAATGTTATGCAATGTTATACAATGTTATAAAATGTTATACAATGTTATACAATGTTATACAATGTTATAGAATGTTCTATAATGTTCTACAATGTTATACAATGTTATACAATGTTATACAATGTTATAGAATGTTCTACAATGTTCTACAATGTTCTACAATGTTCTACAATGTTCTACAATGTTCTACAATGTTCTACAATGTTCTACAATGTTCTACAACGTTCTACAACGTTCTACAATGCTCTACAATGTTCTACAATGTTCTACAATGTTCTACAATGTTCTACAATGTTCTACAATGTTCTACAATGTTCTACAATGTTCTACAATGTTCTACAATGTTATACAATGTTATACAATGTTATACAATGTTATACAATGCTATACAATGCTATACAATGCTTTACAATGTTATACAATGTTATACAATGTTATACAATGTTATACAATGTTATACAATGTTATACAATGTTATGCAGTGTTATGCAATGTTATGCAATGTTATGCAATGTTATGCAATGTTATGCAATGTTATACAATGTTATACAATGTTATACAATGTTATACAATGTTATACAATGTTATACAATGTTATACAATGTTATACAATGCCATACAATGTTATACAATGTTATACAATGTTATACAATGTTATACAATGTTATACAATGTTATACCATGTTTTACCATGTTTTACAATGTTATACAATGTTATAAAATGTTCTACAATGTTATACAATGTTAAACTATTGTCCCATATTGTCCCATATTGTCCCATGACTTTCATGGTGTCCCGACTCGTCCCGACTACAAGACAAGTCACAACATGAACAATAGAAATCTCACATTGCCTCTGATCACTGGAACATTGCGTATCTCACAGTTTTACAGTTATACAATGTTATACAATGTTCTACAATGTTTTACAATGTTATACAATGTTCTACAATGTTCTACAATGTTATACAATCTTGTACAATGTTATACAGTGCTATACAATGTTATACAATGTTATACAATGTTATACAATGTTATACAATGTTATACAATGTTATACAATGTTCTACAATGTTATACAATGTTATGCAATGTTATGCAATGTTATGCAATGTTATGCAATGTTATGCAATGTTATGCAATGTTATGCAATGTTATGCAATGTTTTACAATGTTATACAATGTTATACAATGTTATACAATGTTATACAATGTTATACAATGTTATACAATGTTATACAATGTTATGCAGTGTTATGCAATGTTATACAATGTTATACAATGTTATAGAATGTTATACAATGTTATACAATGTTATACAATGTTATACAATGTTATGCAATGTTATGCAATGTTATGCAATGTTATGCAATGTTATGCAATGTTATGCAATGTTATGCAATGTTATACAATGTTATACAATGTTATACAATGTTATACAATGTTCTACAATGTTCTACAATGTTATACAATGTTATACAATGTTCTACAATGTTCTACAATGTTATACAATGTTCTACAATGTTCTACAATGTTCTACAATGTTCTACAATGTTCTACAAGGTTATACAGTGCTATACAATGCTATACAATGTTATACAATGTTATACAATGTTCTACAATGTTATACAATGTTTTACAATGCTATACAATGTTGTACAATGTTATACAATGCTATACAATGCTATACAATGTTATACAATGTTATACAATGTTATACAATGTTATACTATTGTCCCATATTGTCCCATATTGTCCCATATTGTCCCATGACTTTCCCCATGGTCCCATGATTTTCATGGTGTCGCGACTTGTCCCGAGTACAAGACAAGTCACAACAGGAACAATAGAAATCTCACGTTGCCTCTGATCACTGGAACATTGCGTATCTCACAGTTATACAGTTATACAATGTTATACAATGTTATACAATGTTATACAATGTTATACAATGTTATACAATGTTATACAATGTTATATACAATGTTATACAATGTTATACAATTTTATACTAGTGTCCCATATTGTCCCATATTGTCCCATATTGTCCCATATTGTCCCATGACTTTCCCCATGGTCCCATGATTTTCATGGTGTCCCGACTCGTCCCGACTACAAGACAAGTCACAACAGGAACAATAGAAATCTCACATTGCCTCTGATCACTGGAACATTGCGTATCTCACAGTTATACAGTTATACAATGTTATACAATGTTATACAATGTTATATACAATGTTATATACAATGTTATATACAATGTTATACAATGTTATACAATGTTATACAATGTTATACAATGTTATACAATGTTATACAATGTTATACTATTGTCTCATATTGTCCCATATTGTCCCATGACTTTCCCCATGGTCCCATGATTTTCATGGTGTCCCGACTCGTCCCGACTACAAGACAAGTCACAACAGGAACAATAGAAATCTCACATTGCCTCTGATCACTGGAACATTGCGTATCTCACAGTTATACAATGTTATACAATGTTATACAATGTTATACAATGTTATACAATGTTATACAATGTTATACAATGTTATACAATGTTATACAATGTTATACAATGTGTTATACAATGTTATACAATGTTATATACAATGTTATATACAATGTTATACAATGTTATACAATGTTTTACAATGTTATGCAATGTTTTACAATGTTATGCAATGTTATATACAATTTTAAATACAATGTTATATACAATGTTATATACAATGTTATACAATGGTATATACAATGTTATACAATGTTATGCAACGTTTTACAATGTTATACACTGTTATATACAATGTTATATACAATGTTATACAATGTTATACAATGTTATACAATGTTATACAATGTTATATACAATGTTTTATACAATGTTTTACAATGTTATACAATGTTATACAATGTTATGCAATGTTATACAATGTTATATACAATGTTATATACAATGTTATATACGATGTTATAATGTTATACAATGTTATGCAATGTTATATACAATGTTATACAATGTTATATACAATTTTATACAATGTTATGCAATGTTGTATACAATGTTATGCAATGGTTTACAATGTTATACAATGTTATATACAATGTTATATACAATGTTATACAATGTTATACAATGTTATACAATGTTATACAATGTTATACAATGTTATACAATGTTTTACAATGTTTTACAATGTTATACAATGTTATGCAATGTTATACAATGTTGTACAATGTTATGCAATGTTATATACAATGTTATACAATGTTATACACTATTATATACAATGTTATATACAATGTTATACAATGTTATACAATGCTATACAATGTTATATACAATGTTATACAATGTCATACAATGTTATACAATGTTATACAATGTTATGCAATGTTATATACAATGTTATACAATGTTATATACAATGTTACATACAATGTTATGCAATGTTATATACAATGTGATATACAATGTTATACAATGTTATAATGTTATACAATGTTATACAATGTTATACAATGTTATACAATGTTATACAATGTTATACAATGTTATACAATGTTATACAATGTTATACAATGTGTTATACAATGTTATACAATGTTATATACAATGTTATATACAATGTTATACAATGTTATACAATGTTTTACAATGTTATGCAATGTTTTACAATGTTATACAATGTTATATACAATGTTTTATACAATGTTTTACAATGTTATACAATGTTATACAATGTTATGCAATGTTATACAATGTTATATACAATGTTATATACAATGTTATACAATGTTATACAATGTTATACAATGTTATACAATGTTATACAATGTTATACAATGTTATATGCAATGTTATATACAATGTTATACAATGTTTTAAACAATGTTATATACAATGTTATACAATGTTATACAATGTGATACAATGTGATACAATGTGATATACAATGTTATGCAATGTTATATACAATGTTATACAATGTTATGCAATGTTCTATACAATGTTTTACCAGTAGTACCCGCACGAGGCGGGGCGGAAGTTGCCTTAAAGATATATATGAGACCTTTCTCATCTATAGAACTTGCATGCGCCGTGCGCGAGCCAGGCCCGTGCGTGCGTGCACTCTGCGAAAGTGGTGTCCTGTTTCACATGTCACATTTGAAGCTCCACTTCGCACTTCACGCTTCACACTCCACACTTCACACTCCACACTCCACACTCCACACTCCACACTGCACGCTTCCCACTGCACACTCCACACTTCACACTTCACACTTCACACTCCACACTTCACACTTCACAGTCCACACTTCACACTTCTCACTTCTCATTGCTTTCTTCACACTCCACACTTCACACTTCACACTGCACTCTTCGCGCCCCACACTTCACACTCCACACTTCATCTCATCTGAGCTCTTCTCGGCGCTTCTGCACGTCAGCAAGGTTGAGCGTAACTCATGTTGATTCTTCTACATGCCAAAAGGTGTAGACCATAAAATATTTACAATATTGAGGTCATTAATGCCAAGCGTTGATGCATTGCATCAAATCGCAACGGCAAGTGTGAACATGGTGTAGTTGTTACCTGTCAAGGAGATTCACGCAGTCCAAGCTCGACAGCTGCTTTTTTCTCTGCGCTACACTTGGTCGTCTAGGCTTTTGGCAGCTTTTCGGCCCGCACTGGCACGAAAGGCTGGAGAGCTTATCACGTTGGAAGCCTGGTTGGCCGTCATGGCACTTCACGAATCAAATCAGGCAAGAAGTTCTCACTATCCGCAATGACATTGCGGACCCAAGCTGCATCTGCTTGCGACAA